TCTTGATGGGATGCTCTGAGGGTCAGTGTGGACTTGTTGGGCTGAAGGGTCTGTTTCCACACTGTAGGGGTTCTATTCTATGAAAAGTTAGGTTTGACCATCATTATCAGGAAGACAAATGTCATGGTCTTGGATGCTGTCACACCCCCATCTATGAGCACGGACAATGTGACCCCAGATGCTACTAGGAGCTTCACATATCTAGACTCCACAGTCACCAGCAAATTGTCCCTTGATGCTGAAATCAGCAGATGGATTGTCAAACCTGCAGTTATGTTGTCTCAGCTGAGCAACACCATGACTGAGAACATCACACTGCATTTCGACCAAGCTTGTTCCCTGCACTGCATTTCTCTGCAGTGCTGAGACCTGGATAACGTAGGCTCAGCTGGAGGCAAGGTTGAACAGCTTTCACTTTCACTGTCCCAGACACATGCTCAACATTGTCTGGGCAGCACAAGGTCACTAATTTAGGGGCTCCTGGACTATACTAATTCCATCAAGCAACAAAGTCTGCACTTGCTTAGTCAGTGAAAAATGACAATGTGAATCCAAAGACTAACTATGTGCTTTACTGGCCATTGGGTCACGACATCCTGGACTTCAATATCTCCCTTATCAGGACACCTTCAAACGTGGCACGATGAAAGAGGATATTGATCTTGACACCTGGGAGTTGCTTACTGACAGCCATGACTATTTACAAGGGAATTGGAAGGCCGAGCAAAGATAAACACCCTCAGCTGGACAAGAATTGAGCCCAGAAAATGCAGAGACTAGGGATCCATTGTTTCCCTCCGCAGTAATTGTGATTGAGACTGCCCTGGCAGAGAGATGCTCCTGAGACACACCAGACAGTGTTGAATACAGAACAAAAACAAAAGTTGCTGGAAAAGCTCAGCAGGTTTGGCAGCATCTCTGAAGAAAATATCAGAGTTAACGTTTCGGATCTGGTGACCCTTCCTCAGAACTGAGGAAGTTCTGAGGAAGGGTCACTGAACCCAAAACATTAAAACTTTGATTTTTGCTTCACAGATGCTGCCAGACCTGCTGAGCTTTACCAGCAACTTCTGGTTTTGTTCCTGATTTACAACATCCTCAGTTCTTTCGGTTTTTATTTTGTGTTGAATACGGAGTTCACCACTACAGCAAAAACCATTGACTTACTGCTACAAAATATTTCCAGAATTACAGATTACAAGCACGCACTTCCTAACCCAAGTCAGTGTTTATTTAACGAGCACAGAATTAATGCTCAGTTGGTGATTTCAATCTGCATAAATACAATGAATATGTAATTAACAAAAGCTCAGTCAAGAAGCAAGGTTTTAAAGAGCTTCTTGCAGGAGGGAAGAGATGTCGAGCATCTAAGAGGTTAGCAGAAGAAATTCCAGAGTTGAGGATTTATGATGCGAATGCACAGTCACCAATGGTGGAGTGTTGAGAATCCGGGATGGCCGAAAAGCTGGAATTACAGGAGAACAGACATGGTAGAGGCTTTTAGGACTGGAAGAGATTATGAAGAGGGGAAAGGGCAAGACAATGAAGGGATTGAAGACAAGGATGAGAATTTTAAAATGGAGATGTTTCTTAACCAGAAGTCAATGTAAGGCCATGACAGATAGGAAAACATTTAGCCTTTAGCCCCATTTACTCTACCATTCTATAGGATAATGTCTGATCCCACATTGCTCATGTCCACTTTCCTACCCTTTTCACATTAGTCTTGATTTCCTGACTGATCAAGAATCTATCTATTTCAGCCTTAAATATACACAAGGACTCTGCTTCCACAGCTCTCTGAGGCAAGGAGTTCCAAAAACTCTCAACCTTCTGAGAGAAGAAATTCCTCCTCATCTCACCCTTTTCATTCTGAGATTAGGCTCGCTGGTCCTGGACTCTCCCATGAGAGGAAACATCCTCTCAGCATTGATGCAATCAAGTCTCTTAAAAATCTGAAATGTTTCAATGAGATCACCTCTCATTCTTCTACACTTCAGTGAACAGAGTCCCAACTTGTTTAGCCTTTGTTCATAAGACAATCCCTCCAGTCCAGGGATCATCCTAATGAACCTTCTATGAATTGCTTCCAATGAAATGATATCTTTCCTTAAATAAGGGACAAATCTGCTCACAGTACTCCAGATGTGGTCTTGCCAGCACCTTCTACACTGGCAGTAAGATTTTCCTACTCTGATACTCCAACCTCATCGAAAGGTGTTTGGATGAATACATGCATAGGAAAGGTTGAGCAGGAAACGGGCCATGTGCAGGGAAATGGGATCAGCATGGATGGACGTTTTGGTTGGCATGGACCAATTTGGGCCGAAGGGCCTGGCTCCATGCTGTAGGATTCTATGACTCTAACGGCCAATATTCCATGAGCCTTCCTGATTCCCTGCTGCATCTGTGTGCTAACTTTCTATGTTTCCTGCTCATGTCCCACCATGTCCCTTTGGGTTATTGCTTTCTCCATTTAAATAATACTGTGTTCATTTGTTCTCCATTCCATAATTTTCCCACGTTATTCTCCATTTTTCAATGTTTTGCCCACTTACTTAACTAATCAAACCTCTCCGTTAACTGTATCATCCTTACAATTTACCTTTCTGCCTATGTTTGTGTCATCTTCACATTTGTCTACAGCACATTGACTTCCTTCCTCCAAGTCAGTAATAGATATTGTAAATGGTTGTGGTGCCAGCACTGATCTCTGTGGAACCCACTGGTCATGGGTACCAAAATGAAAAATAACCCCTTATCTCCACTCATTTTTTCCTGTCCATTGGCTGGTTCTCTATTCTCTCTAGTTCACTGGTTGGGATGGGAGAGATAGGATTGGAGGATGGGGTGTGGGATCTGGAGTGAGATTGTAGAAAGTGGACTGAGGAGGTCGGTGGGAGATTGTGGATGGTGGAGTGGGGGGGTGTCGGAGAGAGATTGTGGAGGGTGGAGTGGGGGGGTTGGAGAGAGATTGTGGAGAGTGGAGTGGGAGGGGATCCGAGAGAAATTGTAGAGGGCGGAGTGGGGGTTAGGGAAGAGATTGTGGAGGGTGGAGTTGGGGGTGATACTGAGATTGTGGAGGGTAGAATGTGGAGGGGGGTTTGCGGTCACTGCACTGGACTTGTCAAAACAGCTTTGAGTGTTGGGTGACAAATGGGGTAATGCCTGTGATTTTCAAAAAAGTTTTCACGTGAAGACCCTGCCAGTAAAAAAGTAATCAACAACGCTGGGAAATGGAATCCCTCATCACATTGGAGGCCCATGGTGAAGTATAGCGGACAAGGCAGACCAGTGTGTCCCATACACTTTGAGCAGGCCCCTTGAGAAGATGGTTGCAAGACATCTCCTTCAACCTGCAGTCCATGGGATGATGGGTATCTGCTTGACATGTCCAGGAGCTGAGACTGCGACACACAGGCCCTGGGCTAGGGTTCTGTGTAGTACCAGGCAGGGAGTGAGCTGCTCTCTCTCTCTCCCTCTCTGATTCCTTGAGTTCTCTACCTGCACAGGGGCTGACACACAAACCCAATGCCTCATTTTCCTTCTTTTCTGGTATTTGGTGATCATGCTGCTTGATTATGAGAGAGGAGCTGCTCCCCCCAGCACTGAAGTTACATCGAGAGAGTCTCGGGCGGAGGGTAGGCTGTTTCTCAGTCACACTAGCGCTGAGCTGATCTGGATCTGTAAGGCTGGAGCGTTGGCCTGCTTTTGCTGATGATTGAAGCGCCAATCTTTGGATGGGATCAAGATAAAACAAGTCCTGAATTGGGACGCAGTATTTGATCAGCCCATCAGAGCAGGAGAATGAGAGTAAGGCATGGGGCCAACTCCTGTCCTGCTGAGGCTAGTATCTATCCAGAACAACTTTACTATTGCACTCTCTCTCTCCGTCTGTATCCCTGTCTCTCTCTGGTATGCAGAACATGTGCAATCCTGTTATAACTTCTTTGCTGAACAATTTTTTTCTGAAGTAGTTTAAATAAATCCTTCTATTTTATAGTGCCAGGAGCCAATGCGCAAATGCAGGGAGCAAAGGAAGAGAGATACTCCGAGTCAGACAGGCACATATTATGGTTTCAATAAGCTATCAGAAGGGATGCATTCAGTAAATTGCTAATAAGTTGGATGCTGATGCTCTCTGCAGCTTTTCATCCAACAGACTGAATGCAGTGAGGTCATGAAGTGATCTAAACTCCCACAGGCAGTCTCCAAACCCAGAACAAAGTGGAATTCTGTCAGGATCGAATTGTGAAGGGGAACTCTGTCAATATAGCTTGGAGTCGGAGCTTTCTCTCGCGGTTTCTTTCGGTAATGTAAGACGGCCCTTTTCACTGGAGTGGACTGCATGTTACACCAAAGCCCATGAGGAGGTATCAGACAATGGTGACCCAAAGGTTGTTTATTGAGCTAGGTCTGAAGGGAAGGAAGTGAGACATGGAGAGATGCAAGGAGGGAATTCCAGAGCTTGGGACAATGACCAGCAATGGAGGAGCGATTAAAATCTGGGATGCACGAGAGGCCAGAGTGCAATGAATGCATTGATCTATCACAGGAGGGCTTTTGAATTTGTTCATGAGACATTGGTGGCCCTAGCCAGGCCAGCATTTATAGCCTGTTCCTAGTTACCCTTGAAAAGATGGTGAGCTATCTTCTGGAACTGCTGCAGTAATAAGGATGAGCTGAGGCCCTGGAGGGATTGGTGAATAAGGATAAGGATTTTAAAACGGAGGTGGTACAGGGGAACAGGGGTAGGGGGATTGGGTTGGAGGGGAGTTGGATTAAAATTAATGAGGGGCTTGAGAGAGAGCAGGGACCGAGATAAACTGTGAAGGTGGGCATTTATCTAGAGGCTGGTGGAATTAAGAATTCAGCAGGAGACTTGTTTCAGGCTTGAACCTTTAAATGCTTGACTATGTGTGTGTGTGTTTGTGTGTGTGTGTGTGTCTGCTTTGTTGCAGCCCCCTGGTGCGCACACTTTGAGAAAGCTGTAACGTGAGATGTTGACGATGATGCTCACTGTCCTGGCCATTTACCTCAGTACCCTCCTGGAAATGGGTGACTGCCAGCTGCTCGTCAGCGCTCTCCGGCAAAAACGCGACAAGCTCTCAGTCAGAGGTCATCATATGAACCACACGGTGATGATCAAACAGCAGCCCATTGTCTTTAACCATGTCTACAACATCAACGTGCCCATGGATTCGCTATGTTCCGTCAGGTTGGACAGCTCCTCAGAACAGACCGAGTCTATGCAGGATGAGGACGTCAGCCAAGACAGCGAACAAAACCTGGACAGTCAGGTAGCTTTCACTCACAATATTCACATTCCGAAACAAATGTGTGACTGCCCGCACTTCAACCTGCTCCGGAGCGCCCTCGAAAGGCTCAAAATGCTGGAGAGAGAGGTATCTATCCTCAGGCAGCAGTGCAGCACCCGCTGCTTGGGACAGGGATCAGCTTCAGGTAGGACATTCTCTCCCATCCCTTCATCCCTGCCTCTGAAATAAACCTCAGGAGCCCTATCCCCAGGGATCCTCCTCAAACAGCCGGGCATAGAATGTGTTCTAGATACCCAGGCGTGTGAGAACAATCTGGAGTGATAACATGGGAACAGAGAATCTGTTGGTGCATAAGGCACAAATTCAGACCTTACACCAAGAGAGGCCATTCTCCCCATTGCGTCTGTGTTAGCTCCATGAAAGGGCTTTTATCTTCACTCTGTCTGGGTGTCATTGGCATTTTTTGCCCAGAAGGAATTTCCTGTAGGTCTGGAGTCACATGTAGGGCTAGACCAACGTACGGACAGCAGATTTCCTTCCCTGACAGGCTTTAGTGAACCAGATGGGATTTTACAACAATGATCTTTAGACTTTTAATTCCAGATTATATTTTAATAATTGGATTCACACCATGGTGGGTTTGAACCTGGTTCCTCAAAATGTTACCTGGGTCTCTTAATAAATAGTTGAGCGATAATACCAATACACCATTGCATGCTAGCCAGGATGGTGCTCCAACAGTCTGATTTTGTGACAATTTTGTGTCAAATAACTCACTAGATTAACGCCAAATCCACCACCTTCACCACTCTCTCCTTCCACCACTGACACTCAGAAAGTCAGCGTCTACCACCTACAAGATGCACTGCAGAAATTATCCAATGATTCTTTGACAGCACCTTCCAAAAACATGATTTCTATCTCCAAGAAGGACAAGGGAATAGACCCGCTCCGAGCCACTCACCATCCTGACTTGGAAATATATCACCGTTCCTTCACTGTTGCTGGATCAAAGTTGTGGAACTCCCTCCCTAATGGCATTGTGGGTCAATCTACAGCACATGACTACAGCAGTTCAAGAAGGCAGCTCACTAATACCTTCGCAAGGGGCATGTAGATGGTAGGCAACAAATACTGGCCAAGCCAGCAACACCCGTATCCCATCAATGAGTTAAAAACGAACCCGTTAGGATCTGGATTAGAGTCTGGATGCACTGCCCGAGAGTGTGGAAGAGGCAGCTTCAGCTGAGGCTTTCAAGAGGGAGTGAAAATGAAGGTTGTGGAAGGCTATGGGAAAAAGTGGAGAGTAGCAGAGAGTGAGGGTTAGTCTATTCTCCTTTCCTCAGTGATGTGCTCTTTACAGGCTGTTTCCCATGACCAGCAGTGGAAGGTGATAGGGAGATGACTGAAGCCCAGCATTCACATCAGCTCTGTCAACACACATAGTGGGTCCTGACTGTGATGGGGGAGCACTATGTTGTGTCAACATGCTGATGCCCAGACTTCCATTTCACAAAGTTCCTGTTAACCCTATAAACACAGCCAGGCAGTGAGGAGGAGGCTAAATCAATTCACTCTGTGATGTTGACCTCACAAACTCCGACTCACCAAAACCAACACCTACCAAAACTCATAGTGAAGCCACTCCTGCTTAGTGATACACCTGCCCATGTCCTTGCAGGGGGCAGTGTTCCAATGTCTCTGCTGCCCTTGCCCTTGGAGATGGAAGTGGTCGTGGGTTTAGAAGTTGCTGTTTAAGATGTCTTGGCAATTCACTGCAGTGTATCTTGTAGATGGAATACACTGTTAATCCTGTCCAAATCGATCAAATCTCCCCTCGAACTCCTTTGCTCCATGGAGAACAACCCCAGCTTCTCCAACTGAACCTGGTCAGTAAAATCCCTCATCAACGTGCCCAAAGAACAAAGAACAATACAGCACAGGAACAACAGGCCTTTCGGCCCTCCAAGCCTGCACTGATATATTTTGCCCTCTTGCTAAAACTGTCTTCATTTACAGGATCCATATCCCTCTATTCCCTTCCTATTCGTCCAGGTGTTTCTTCAATGCCGCTATTGTGTTTGCTTCCACCACCTCCTCTGGCAGCGTGTTCCAGGCACTCACCACTCTTTGTGTGAAAAACTTGCCTCACTCATCTCTTTTAAACTTCCCATTCCCCCAAGACCTTGAATCTGTGTCCCCTCATAATTGACCTTTCCACCCTGGCAAAAGTCCTCGTATTTTCCATTCTATCCATGACATTCACAGTCTTTTAAACTCCTATCAGGCCACCCCTCAACCTCCTGTGTTCCAGTGAAAACAAATCTATCCAACCTTACGTCATAGCTAAAATCCCCTATACCAGGCAACATCCTGGTAAACCTTCTCTGTACCTTCTCCAAAACATCCACATCCTTCTGGTGTGTAGTGATCAGAACTGTACGCAATATTGCAAGTGTGGCCTAATGAAAGTTCTATAAAGCTGTAGTATAACTTGTCTACTCAATGCCCTTCCAATGAAGGCCAGCATGCCATTAGCCTTTTTTACCACTTTATCTACCTGCTCTGCCACATTCACTGATCTGTGGACCTACACACCCAGATCCCTCTGCATATCAATACCCCTAAGGGTTATGCCATTCACTATATAATTTTCACCTGTACTTGACCTTCTAAAATGTATCACTTCACATTTGTCCAAACTCCACCTGCCATTTCTCTGCCCATGCCCTCAACTGATGTACATCCTGCTATATTCTCTGACGATCCTCTTCACTACCACCAATGTTTGTATCATTCGCAACTTACTAATTAGGCCAGCTATCTTTTCCTCCAAATCACTTATGTCAACCACAAACAGCAACGGTCCCAGCACTGATCCTTGTGGAATGCCACCAGCCATAACCCTCCATTCCAAAAAACATCCTTCCGTCGCTACCCTCTGTTTCCTATGACTAAGCCAGTTGTGTATCCATCTTGCCAGCTTACCCTGGTACCATGTGACTTCACCTTTTGTATCCATTCTGATAAATCTCCCCTGCTCTCTGTCAAGGTCACTCACCTCCTTCCTTGTGTGTGGGAAGGTTCAGCATCACATCCGTGCTTTTGTACCTGACGTCTCTATTTATGAAGACAAGTGTCCCATATGCCTTCTTAACAACCTAATAGCATGTCCTGCCACCTCTAGGGATCTGTGGGCACACACATTAAGATCCATCTGTTCCTCTGAACTTCCTCGTGTCCTGCCATTCATTAAGTACTCCCTTGTCTTGTTCCTTCTTCCATAGTGCAGCGCCTCATATTTATCAGGGTTAAATTCTATCTGCCCATTGACCAATCATTTTTTTCCTCCTGTAACCTAACACTTTCTTCCTCACTGTCAACCACCTGAACAATCCTTGTGTCATCTGCAAATTACTTATCATCCTCCCCATATTCTCATCTACGTTGTTTAGGAATATCACAAACAATAAGGGACATGCCTCTGATCCCTGTGGCACACACCATTGCACAACAGGATCCAATTACACAATCAGCCTTTCATCACCACCCTCGGTCTCCTGTCACTTACCCACAATTTTGGATTCAAGTGACCCTGGAGTCCATTCTTTATTGGTTTCCTATGTTGGAATTTGTCAAAGGTCTTGCTGAAATCCATATAAACTACAGGTGCAGATATGGGCGGAGAAGTGATAGCTGGAATTTAATCTGGGCAAGTGTGAGGTACTGCATTTTGGGGGATCAAATGTTAAGAAAACTTTCCTGTTGATGGCAAGACCCTGAACAGTATTGATGTACAGAAGAATCTTGGGGTTCAAGTCCATAGCTCCCCGAAAGTGGCCATGCAAGTAGATAGGGTGGTAATGGAGATGTATGACTACATGCCTTTATTGGTCGGGGAGTTGAGTACAAGAGTCAGGATGTCATGCTGCAGCTTTATAAGACTCTGTTTAGGGCACACTTAGAGTGTTCTGTTCAATTCTGGTCGCCAGATTACAGGAAGGATGTGGAGGCTTTGGAGAGAGTGCAGAAGATATTTACCAGGATGTTGCCTGGATTAGAGGGTATGAGCTATAGGTAGAGGCTGGAAAAAACTCAAGTTGTTTTCTCTGGAACTGCGGAGGCTGAGGGGAGACTCGATAGAAGTCTATAAAATTATGAGATGCATAGACAGGGATGACAGAATCTTTTTCCCAGAGTTGAAATATCTAATACTAGTGGACATGCATTTAAGATGAGGGGTGAATGTTCAAAAGAGATGTGAGGGGCCAGGTTTGACAGAGAGCAATACGAGTCTGGAATGTGCTGCCAGGGGTGGTGGTTCAGGCAGATATGATAGAGACGTTTAAGGGACTTTTAGATAAGCAAATGAATATGCAAGGAATGGAGGGAAATGGACCAAGGGCAGGCAGAAGGGATTCGTTTCATTTTGCGTCATGTTCGCCACAACATCTTGGGTCAAAGGACCCGTTCCTGTAATGTTCAATATTCTGCATCAACTGCTTTACCTTCATCCAAACACTTGGTCACCTCTTTGAAAAATTCAATCAAATTCATTTGGCATGACATCCCTCTGACTAAGCCATGCTGGCTATCCTGATGAAACGTTGCATCTCTATAATGGAGTTTAATTTTCTCCTTCACCATTTTCTCCAATAGTTTCCCCCTACCACTGATGTAAGACTCACTGGTCTACAGTTTCCTGGTTTAGCTCTTCCACCCTTCTTTTAAAGTGGAACCACATTAGCTGTACACCAGTCCTCTGACTCCACGTTCAGATTTCCCCCTTGCTCTCTAATGGGCCCTACCTCCTTACTTGGATATTCTCTCCACCCTGTAGAATTTCTTGGGATTCTCCTTAATATTACCCACTGGTGTTTTCTCATGCCCTCACTTAACTCTCCTAATTGTTTATTTTGACATCCCCCTCACACTTTCTATATTCGTCTATGGCCTCCATTATGTTGCATTCTTTGTACCTGTTATACATTTCTCTTCTCTATTTTATCCAGTCCTGACTGTTTCTAGACATCCAGGGTTCTCTGGGCTTGTTTCTCCCGCATTTCATCCTTAAAGAACATATTGGGCCTGTACTCTTCCCCAGTACATTTTTGAACTCCTCCCACAGTTCTGCTGTAGATTTACCCTCCAGAAGTTGTTGCCAGTCTATTTTGGCCCGATCCTGCCTTATTTTAATAAAATCTGCCTGACCTCAATCCAAAACGGTTTCTTTCCCAGACCATCTTTCTCCTTTTCCATAACAAACTTAAAACATATGGCGTTGTTGTCACTATCATTGAAATATCCCCCTACTGCCACCTAAAACACCCGTCTGATTTCGTGCTCCAGAGTTAGATCCAGCACCCTACTGTATCTTGTAGGACCATAGACAAGTTGATATAAGAAACTCTACTGTATATGTTTCAAGAAACCTTCCCTCTCTGAATCCTGTATAGTATGATTACCTCAATTAGTATTGGGGAAGTGGAAATCCTCTAATATAATTATCCTAATGTTAGTTTTACATGCCTTATTGAATTGAATTGATCCCCTCTCTTCCCCTTTCCCACTCTCCCCTGGATTGGCTGGGGGATTTGCATTTGGTCTGTGATGTTTTGTCCTTTATAATCCTCTGTCCCATCTCTCTCCATCTCTGCCAGTCACCATCTTTCTCTGTCACCCAGTTTCTCTCTTGCTGTTGCCCTCTCTCTTTACCTTTTGACTACTCTCTCTCTCTCTATTGCCCTTTTTCTCTGTCTCTGTCTCTCTGCAGCTCTCTCTATCTCTCTCCCTGTTTCTGAGTCTCTTTCTCTCACTGCCATCCTCTCTCTCTTTCACTGTTCCACTCTCTTATTTCCCTTCCCCCTCTCTCCAGGATTGGCTCTGGGGTTTGTGTTGCTTATATTAGTGGGGGCTTGTGCTTTATAATCCTCCTCCTTTCTCTGTTTCTCATTCTCTCTCTCTCTCCCCCCAGGTCGGATTGACTATGCCCCCATGTGTAATGGCCATGGTAACTTCAGCATGGAGACATGCGACTGTAGCTGTGAACTTGGCTGGACGGGCAAGGGCTGTTCAGTGCAATGCTGCCAGTCCAACTGCAGTGGGCATGGGCTGTGTGTCAATGGCCAATGCCTCTGTGACCAGGGCTACACAGGCCAGGACTGCAGTGAGCTGCAATGCCCTGGGAACTGCAGTGGGCACGGGCTATGTGTGGAAGCAGAGTGTGTGTGTGAGACACCATACACTGGAGAAGACTGTGGGCAGCTGAGGTGTCTCAACAACTGTAGCCAGAATGGGCAATGTAACCAAGGCACATGCTTCTGTCAAGAGGGCTACACTGGACAGGACTGTGGGCAAGGTAATGCTGGCTACACTGAGGGCCAGGGGAGGGGGAAGGGATGAGGAACAAGCCATGGGGAAGGTCTCACAGTAGGAGGGGTTCAATGAGGGGAGGGGCTCAATGCAGGGGAGGGGCTTAGTATGCCAATGAAGCTCATGGTTGAGGGGACTAATTGTGAGGAATGAGCTCAGTGGAGAAGAGGGGTTCAGCATGAGGGAGGGGCTCAGTGTGGCACCGGGCCTCAGTGGGGGAGGGGCTGAGTGAGGGGGACGATCGCAGTGTGAGGATAGGGCTCAGAGTGGGAGAGGGGCTCAGTTTGGGGTGATTAGCATGGAGTAGGAGCTAAGTATAAGAATGGGGCTCAGTGTTGGGGAGGGGCTCAGTGTTGGGAGGGGCTCAGTTTGGGGCAATTAGTGTGGAGTAGGAGCTGAGTATAAGAATGGGGTTCAGTATGGGGGTATTGCTCGGAGTGGGTGCGGTGCTCAGAGTGGGAGCAGAGCTCAGTGTCAAGGAGGGACTCGGTATGGGCGACCTGCTCAGTGTGGGAGAGGGGCTCAGTGTGGCGTAGAGGGGCTCAGTCTAGGGGAGAGGGGCTCAGTGTGGTGGAGAGGGGCTCAGTGTGTGGGAGGGGCTAAGTGTGGGGGGGAGGGGCTCAGTGTAGAGGCAGGGTGGGACAGAGTCTCACAGTGGGGTTCTGGGTTGTGATCTGTGTCCCAGTCCTGATGAGCATGAGACAATCAATTCGAGCCATTTCCCTCTAACTATCAATTGTTGTCATAATAGCTACCATCTCCCTGTAATATTGATGGTGGCCTCTGTGATTCCGATCCCAATCTCTCTGTATTCTTAAGTTTGAGGATTTGGTTGAGTTGATTTTGTGGAAAGAGTGTGTTGGGAAGAGTGTAACATCCCCAACACTGGTCACCTTCTGCTCAGGGGAGCAGTGGGTGCATTATTTGGGCAAGGACTAAATCAGGATAGGAGTGCTACACAAATGCATCTCCAGTGTGTCTCCAATGGTTGAACCTATTGATGCTTGTCTCTCTCAGTGTTTCCACCACAACGCCTCCGAGTTACCAGTGTTACGGATCGTAGCATTGCCCTGGAGTGGGAGAGGTCTGTAATCATCACTGAGTATCTCATCACCTACACTCCCAACATTGTAGATGGGCTACAGTCAGAACTGCGTGTCACAGGGGATTGGACAGCAGCTAACATTACAGGGCTGGAGCCTGGCATTGAATACAGCATTCAAGTTTACGCTGTGCTGAATAATCAGCTGAGTGTTCCCATCAACTCACGGATAACCACTCGTAAGTAACTGGTGTATGCTTTCTCTACAAGCTCCGGCAGCCCCCTAGAAGTTTCATCAATAGAGATTTTTAACCAACCTCTTCAGCTGTGTTATAACACATCCTGTGGAACATGAACCCAGGGCTCTGGTCCAGAGATAGGGACACTACCACAAGAGGCCCTAAGTTAGGGTGGAAGAGAAATGCAGCTGTCACTTTGAGACTTGAAGTCTTGTAATCCACCTATTGGGAAATGTTATGATTCAGGTCGGGAGTAGATGGGACTTGAATCCTGATCTCTTGGCCCATGGGTCAGGACACTACCGCTGTGTCACAAGGACCCCACATTACATTGTGTGTCATTGAATTCTCCAGATGTTTCATGTTGCATCATTGCACTTTCCAGATGCTTCATGTTGTGCAATTATACTCTCGAGATGTTTAATGTTGTATCATTCCTCTGTACAGACATTCCACATTGTATCCTTTCACTCTCCACTTGTTTCATGCAGTATCATATTTTCCCGATGTATCATACAATGTCATTGCAATCTACAGCTATTTCAGGCTGTACCATTGCAGTCTCCAGATGTTTCACATTGTATCTTTTCAATACACAGGTGTTTCATGTATCTTTTCACTCTCCAGATGTTTTGCATTGTACCATTGCATTCTCTAAGTGTTTCATGTTGTATCAATATACTGTCTAGATGTTTCATGTTATACCATTGTACTCCCCATATGTGTATGGTTGTATCGTTGGGTACTCCAGATGTTTCATGCTGTACCATTATATTCTCCAGATGTTTCATATTGTATCATTGCACTCTCCAAGTGTGTCCAGTTGTATCATTGTTGTCTCCAGATGTTTCATGTTGTGACATTGCACTCTCCAGATGATTCATACTGTATCATTTCATTCTCCAAATATTTCATGTTATGCAATTGCACTCTCTGGGTGTTTCAAGTTGTATAATTGCTGTATACAGATGTTCCACATTGTATGCTTTCACTCTCCATGTTTCATGTTGTATCATTATACTCTCTGCACTTTTCATGTTGCACCTTTGGACACTCCAGGTATTCAACATTGCACCATTGCATTCTCCAGATGTTCAGGTTGTACCATTGCATTCTCTAGTTGTTTAATGTATCATTATACTCTCCAGATGTTTCAGGTTGTACCATTGCATTCTCCAGGTAAACGTAAATAAAGGTGTCTTTTTTTTTAGAAGGATGAGCATTTTAAAATAAAAGCACAACTTGACTTGGAGCCACATGTAGTCAACAAGTAAGGAGAATTGAGAAATGGGACTTATTGCAAGCTTAGCCACAGGCAATGGAGTTTTCAGAAAGGAAAGTTTATTACAGTGAAGAATGAGTGGCTAGCTAGGACTGGCTTGGAACAGTTATTTCAGTAGCTGCAGTCCAAAGATGTGCAGGTTAGGTGGGTTGGCCATGTTGAATTGCCCATAGTGGCTAGGATGGGAAATGCAGAGATTGGGTCTGGGTGTGATGCTCTTTGGAGTGTCCATGTGGACTCGACGGGCTGAATCGCCTGCTTCCATGCTGTAGGGATTCTATGATTCTATGAAACGGAGGCAGAATTGGAGCTGGATAATGTCACAGAAATGGAAGTACTTGATATTAATGTAAAATATTATCTCAGCAACTAATATCACAAAATCTCAGAATTCTTACAGTGCAGAATGAGGCCATTTGGCTGATCATGACACAACTCACAATTAGTCAAAAAAAAACCATTCTGCACAATTATAAAGTTTAAAAGAGTGTGGAGAAAAAACAGGGACCAGAGGGTTAATGAGTACCAACGCTGAGGTTGACAGGAGACAGAAAAGTAATTGGGATATTCAGGACAAGAACCAGGAAACAACATGAACATTTGTAAAGAGATAGTAGGAACTGCCAATGCTGGAGAATCTGAGATAACAAGGTGTAGAGCTGGATGAACACAGCAGGCCAAGCAGCATCAGAGGAGCAGGAAAGCTGACGTTTCGGGTCGAGACCCTTCTTCAGAAAAATGAAGCTGTACACCTTGTTATCTCTGAACATTTGTAAAGCTCTGTTTGGGTCCCAACTTGAGAACTGTTTCCAGTTCTGGTCCCCACACTCTAGAAGGAATGTGAGGGTTCTTGAGAGGGTGCAGAGGAGTTTTGCCAGAATGTATTAAATATCTCACACAGTAAGACCTCCCAGACAGTGCAGCACTCTCACAGTACTGACCCTCTGACAGTGTGGCATTCCCTCAGCACTGACCCTCTGACAGTGCAACACTCCCTCTGTACAGACCCTCTGACAGTGCAGCACTCCCTCAGTACTGACCCTCTGACAGTGCGGCACTCCCTCCAGTATTGACCCTTTGACTGTATCGTGTTTCCTTAATAACACTGAAAACTGATCCTCCCGTCATTTCTGATTGTTGTTTATTGGCTGGTGATGTGTGAAGGGTTTATTCTTTCATTCCTGTATTTATACAGAGTTGGCTTTACAATGACTGAATTGGGTTACACTTGGGCCTCAGCCATCTCAAGAGGTTGAAGACACCAGTGGGAATGACAGAACGCTGTGTGCTGTGATGTGAACCATTTGAACCCATGCAGTGTGCTGAGAATGTCACAGGTCTGTACCCAGAGCAGCCTGACACTAACATGGCTCTGTCCCTCTCCACAGACCTGCCCACGCCTCAGGGTCTTCGCTTTAAATCTATCTCGGAAACAGCTGTGGAGGTGCAATGGGAACCATTCCAGTTTACGTTTGATGGCTGGGAGATCAGCTTTATTGCAAAGGTAAATCACCCGTCCTCTCCGTCCCTTCTTCACTCCCTCCCTCACTCCCCTATGAGCACAGAGAGCCTGGGGTCAGAATCATTACCAATCACTATCAGAGCCTCAGAAGGATCGCCAACGTCAACCTCACAACCCAAGAGGAAAAATAAAAAACAGTAACACTTGGAAGGATGTATGCTGTCTGTACGGATACCCATTTTGAAATACACAAATAAAATTGGACCGAGTGTGTCAATCTGCAGGTCTAATGGCACATACAGCAGTACTGCAACTCTTCCTGTGGCCTTGGGGGGCTGTGCCTGATTCCACTCCTAACCTGTTCCAGGCACTGTTCATTGATCAGCCTGGGCTACAGGCCAGGAGGCTGACACACTCCATCACTTACTCCCTGATCCTCTCCAACTCTCTCTCTGACCCCCTCCCTGGCTCACTCCCAATACTCACCCTGATACTCTCTGATTCAGCCAAAACTCTTTTCCAGAGTAATGAAGGTGGAATGGTGCTTCAGCTCCCCAGTACTGTCACAGCCTACAATCAGTCAGGCCTGAGGCCTGGGGAGGAATACACAGTCAATGTGGTCGCAATTAAAGAGCACAGCAGGAGCTCCCCGGCTACAGCCATGGTATCAACACGTGAGTTACCTCATTGTTCACAAACAGATGCTCATTGAGAGCACATTACACACACAAAGTCACTGGGGTACGTGTCCCACACACACCGACACTCTCACTGGGGTATGTGTCCCACACACACCGAAACTCTCACTGGGCTATGTGTCCCACACACACACTCACTCTCTGGGACACAATCCCACACACATTTTCTCTCCCAGGGATACGGCTCCCACACACACACTGACTCTTTCTGTGGTACAGTCCCACGCACACTGACTCTTTCTGTGGTACAGTCCCACACACACTGACTCTCACTGCGGTATGAGTCCCACACACACCCTGACTCTCACTGGAGTATGGTTCCCACACACACAACACAGTGTCCAGGTACCTCTCCCCCTCTGTGAAGTGTTGTAGGTCCTCAGCCCAGAATTCACTTCTTCAACTCAAAGGTGAAATTTCCTAGTTAACCAAGTAGTCATCATCACCGATCTCTACCTGCTCCTACATACTTCAGCTGCAACACATCATTTGCCCAGCCATCTCTGTTCTAATTAATTATTGTTTAGATTTATACATTTATAGGATTGAATTTCTCAACTATACTCTTCAGCTGCATATCGTCTATGTAATTGAAGCTGATCAAAAGAGAAATGAAAGAAAGATCCACCAATCTGTTTTCCTTTGACATCACTCCTCAGCTCTGACAGGTGGGAATAGTTTGAACGGGCCTCTCTGCCAATGATTTTCTACCTCCTGCAGTCACTTTCTTTCCAATGGAGGTCAACACTCCCAATCTGCTTCACAGTGATGCTGACTCACTGCGTACTCCTCCCAATCTATTTCACAGTGATGCTGACTCACTGCCCACTCCTCCCAATCTATTTCACAGTGATGCTGACTCATTGCCCACTCCTCCCAGTCTGCTTCACAGCGATACTGACTCACTGCGCACTCCTCGCAATCTGCTTCACAGTGATGCTGACTCAACGCACACTCTTCACAGTCTGCTTCGCAGCGATGCTGACTCACTGCAAACTCCTCCCAATCTATTTCACAGCGATGCTGACTCACTGCGTACTCCTCCCAGTCCATTTCACAGCAATGCTGACTCACTGCGCACTCGTCCCAGTCTATTTCACAGTGATGCTGACTCACTGCGCACTCCTCCCAAACTGCTTCACAGTGATGCTGACTCACTGCGCGCTCCTCGCAATTTGCTTCACAGCGATGCTGACTCACTGCATACTCCTCCCAATCTATTTCACAGTGATGCTGACTCACTGCGTACTCCTCCCAATCTATTTCACAGTGATGCTGACTCACTGCGCATTCCTCCTGGTCTGTTTCACAGTGATGCTGACTCACTGCATACTCCTCCCGGTCTGTTTCACAACGATGCTGACTCACTGTACACTCCTCCCGGTCTGTTTTTCAGCAATGCTGACTCGACGTGTACTAAACATTTTGATTCTGGTATGATTTTTCTTCAGAACTCTGTGGAAGTGGACTTGAAACGTTTCTGTCTTCACAAATGCTGCCAAATCTGCTGAGTTTCTCCAGTATGTTTTATTTTTATATTAGGAGAGAGGACCTGGAATGTTTATATTATCAGCACAGTGGCTCAGTGGTTAGCACTGCTGCCTCACAGCACTAGGAACCCGGGCTCAATTCCAGCCTTGGGCAACTGTCTGTGTGGAGGTTGCACACTCTCCCTGTGTCTGCGTGGATTCCCTCTGGGTGTTCCGGTTTCCTCCCACAGTCCAAAAATGTACAGGTTAGGGTGGATTGGCCATGCTAAATTGCCCGTAGTTTTTCAGGGATGTACAGGTTAGGTGGATTAGTCACAGGAAATACAGGTTACGGGGATAGGATGGGGGAGATTGGTCTGGGTGGGATGCTCTTCGGAGGCGTGGTCTGGACTCGATGGGACAAATGAGCTGCTTCCACACTGTAAGGATTCTATGATTCTAAGAGAGACACTGCTCTGATCGTTTGTTTAATGAACTATGACAGACATGACTGCTCTGTGCTGCACTGTAAGGTTTGAATCTTTATGTGTTACTCAGTAATTGGTATTTGTAATGTTCTGACATCAGTAAAGGGCCTAATTGATGATAGCCTAATTAGACTCAGGGGATTCACTGAAGGGATAATGTCGTGATTTAACAACTGGCTGAATGAGACTCCAAGTGGTCTAATGGTTTGTTGGAGAATTTATTTAATAAAAGCTGGAGATAGGTATTGAGGAAGGATTCATGAAACAGCTGAAATGTCTACAAAGCCCAGCTGCTTTGAGATGGTGCTTTGGGAATGGAGTGTGCTGCCTCTACACAATCTTGTGCATTCCTCAATCTGCTCCTACAAACACAGTCAACTCTGTGCTGGACCATGAAGAAATCCCTCAGTTGGTTCAAATACTAGTGACATTCAAGAAGTTGACTCAGCAGTTTGTCAGGGAAAATTTGGGTTGAAGTCCAGAACAAGAAAGGAGCAGTCACTTTGTTGGGGGCTTTTTTACAGACCCCCTAATAGTTGCAGAGAAGTGGAGGAGCGAATTGGGAGGCAGATACTGGAAAGGTGCAGAAGTCACAGGGTTGTAGTCATGGGTGACTTCAACTTTCCAAATATTGATTGGAAACATTTTAGTTGTAATAGTTTAGATGGAGCGGATTTTGTCTAGTGCATTCAGAAAGGATTCCTGACATAGTATGTAGATAGACCAACATAAGGAGAGGCCACTTTGGATTTGTGCTTGGCAATGAACTGGGCCAAGTGTTAGACCTGTTGGTAGGAGAGCATTTTGGCGATAGCGATCATAACTCTGTTACTTTTACAATAGTCATGGAAAAGGATAGGTACATACAGCAGGGTAAGGTTTATAATTGGGGGAAGGATAATTACAATTCTGTTAGGCAAGAATTGGGTAACATAAATTGGGAACAGATGCTGTCAGGGAAGACCACTAAAGAAATGTGGAAATTGTTTAAGGAATGCATACTGCGTGTGCTCGATATGTTTGTCCCGAGTAGGCAGGGAAGATGCAGCTGAGTGAGGGACCCTTGGTTCTCAAGAGAGGTCGAACAACTGGTTAAGAGGAAGAAGGATGCTTATGTAAAGTTTAGGAAACAAGGAACGGAAAAGGCTCTAGATGGATACAAGTTATCCAAGAAGGAGTTGAAGAAAGAGCTTAGGAGAGCTATAATGGGGCATGAGAAAACCTTGGCAGATAGGATCAAGGAAAACTCCAAGGCTTTTTACATGTACGTGAGGAATAAGAGAATGACCAGAGAAAGGGTAGGGCCAATCAAGGATTGTAAAGGGAATTTGTGCACGGAGTCTAAAGAGATAAGAGAGGTCCTTAATGAATACTTTTCTTCGGTATTCACAACTGAGAAGGACCTAGTTGTAGAGGAGGACAGTGTGAAACAGGCTGGTAGGCTAGAGGAGGTCGACATTAGTGAGGAAGATGTACTAGGAATTTTGAGGAAGTTGAAGATAGATAAGTCCCCCGGGCTTGATGGGGTTTATCCAAGGATTCTATGGGAAGCGAGGGAAGAGATCGCAGGGTCTTTGGCGATGATCTTTTCGTCCTCACTGTCCATGGGTATGGTGCCGGAAGATTGGAGAGATGCAAACGTCATTCCCTCGTTCAAAAAAGAGAATAGGGATAACCCCGGAAATTACAGGCCAGTTAGTCTTACATCAGTGGTGGGCAAATTATTGGGAAGGGCTCTGAGAGATAGGATTTATGATCACTTGGAAAGGCACAGTTTGATTCATGATAGTCAGCATGGATTTGTGAGGGGCAGATCATGCCTCACAAACCTTATTGAATTCTTTGAAAAGGTGACTAAACACTTGGATGAAGGTAGAGCAGTGAATGTGGTATACATGGATTTAAGTAAGGCGTTTGATAAGGTTCCCCATGGTAGGCTCATGCAGAAGGTAAGGAGGCATGGGATAGGGGGAAATGTGGCAGATTGGATTCAGAATTGGCTGACCCTTAGAAGACAAAGGGTGGTAGTGGACGGAAAATATTCAACATGGTGCTCAGTTACAAATGGTGTACCACAAGGATCTGTTCTGGGTCCTCTTCAATTTGTGATTTTTGTGAATAATTTGGATGAAGGAGTGGAAGGGTGGATTAGCAAGTTCGCGGACGATACGAAGGTGGGTCGCGTTGTGGACAGTGCAGAGGGCTGTTCTAGGTTACAAAGGGACATTGGTAGGATGCAGAGCTGGGCTGAGAAGTGGCAGATGGATTTTAACCCTAAAAAGTGTGAGGTGATTCATTTTGGAAGAACAAACTTGAAAACAGAATACAGTGTTAACGGAAAGATTCTTGGCAGTGTGGAGGAGCAGAGGGATCTTGGGGTTCATGTTCACAGTTCCCTGAAAGCTGCCACCCAGGTGGATAGAGTTGTTAAGAAGGCGTATGGTGTGTTAGCTTTCATTAAAAGAGGGATTGAGTTCAAGAGCCGTGAAGTTATGCTCCAGCTATACAAAAGCCTGGTTCGGCCACATCTGGAGTATTGTGTCCAGTTCTGGTTGCCTCATTACACAAAAGATGTGGAGGCGTTGGAAAAGGTGCAGAGGAGATTTACCAGGATGTTGCGTGGAATGGAGGGAAGGTCTTACGAGGATAGGTTGAGAGAGCTAGGGCTTTTCTCTTTAGAACGACGAGGGATCAGAGGTGACTTGATAGAGGTGTACAAAATGATCAGGGGTATAGATAGAGTGGACAGCCAGAGACTTTCCTAGGGTGGAGGTAGCTATTATGAGGGGGCATAGTTTTAAAGTGAGTGGAGGTAGATGCAGGGGAGACGTCAGAGGTAGATTCTTTACTCAGAGACTGGTAGGGGCATGGAATGCATTGCCGGCGAGAGTAGTGGAGTTGGCCTCATTAGGGGCACTTAAGTGGCTATTAGGTAGACATATGAATGATAGTATAAGGTAGGGGTGGAGGGTAGATAGACCTTAGGATTAGAGTGAAAGGTCGGCACAACATTGTGGGCCGAAGGGCCTGTACTGTGCTGTACTGTTCTATGTTCTATGTTCTATGTTCTAAAACTTGAGAACCCCCAGTGCTGACCCTGTCAGGGCTATCCAAACGCTGGGAATGAAGAGAGAAAGTGGGGCTTGATCTTTCATCTGCGTTTCCTTCCGTTTCTCAGCACATAAGAACCCATGGAGGTAGTGTATTAGCACGGAGAGAGAATTTGCAAACTAATAAAAGACAGAGAGTTGGGATAAGGAGGGCATTTTCAGTGATGAGCAGTGTGTCACAGGGGATGCTGCTGGGGCCACACTTATTTACAAAATAAATTAATTATTTGGACGAGGAAAGTTGAAGTGTTACCGGCAAGTTTGCGGATGACATGAAAATAGTTGGGAAGACAGGTGGTGAGCATAACACAAACTGCCTGCAGAGGGATACAGACAGATTAAAATGAGTGAAATGGAATACAATGTGGGAAAATGTGAGGTTATGCATTTCGGCAGGAGGAATAGAGGAGCTGAATATTATTTCAATGGAGAAAGACTTCAGGAAGCAACAAAACCAGGGGGTCCTGGTCTGTGAATCACGAAAAGCTAGCACCCAAGTTCAGCAGGTAATAGTGAAGGCAAATGGAATTTTGGCCATTATTTCAAAGCGAATAGAGTCTGAAAGGAAGGTTTTGCTACAACTGTGAAAGATATTTCTCAGACCAGCAGTTGGAATAGTATGCGCAGTTTTGGGCACCTGCAGTAAGGAAAGACAGACTTTCATTGGAGGCAGTCCAAAGAAGGTTCATTAAGCTGAGGGAGGTATGGAGGCGTATCTTATAAGGAGAGGTTGAGTAGGTTAGCTCTCTACCCATTGGAATTTAGAAGAATTTAGAAGGTGGTCTACATACAAGATTCTTAGGAGACTTGACAGGATAGATGCAAAGAGGTCATTGCCCCTTGTGGGATAGTCTAGGACCAGACAGCGTGATCCCAGGATAAGGTGTCACCCATTTAAGACAGAGATGAGGAGGAATTTCTTCTCTCAGAGGGTAGTGAATCAGTGAAATTCTTTATCACAGAGACCTATTAAGACTGGGGTCGTTAAAAATCTGTCTCAGCCTTGAATATACTTAATCAGTAAGGAAATCAAGTGTTCTAGGGATAGCTGTGGAGGTGAGGATTATCAGATCAACCATGATCTTGCTGAATGGCAGAGCAGACTCAAAGGGCTGAATGGCCTACATCTGATCCTATGTCCTATGGTCCTCTTGTTGGCCCCCAATGTTTGCATGTTCATACCTATATTAAGCAGGGTATTGCATATTGTCTCCCGTTTCTCTCTGTGTTCAGTGATTGATGGGCCAAATAAGATCATCGTCAGGGAGGTGGCTGATACTGTCGCCTTTGTTGAATGGACACCTCCGAGGGCCCACGTGGACTATGTGCTACTGTCATACGGACTCACCAGTGGGGCGAGCGAGAAGACTGTGCTAAAACTGCAGCCCAGCCTGAGCCAGTTCTCCCTGCAGAACCTGAGACCCGCGTCTCAGTACGAGGTGTCAGTCACAGGCATTCACGATGGCGGACAGAGTCAGACCGTGACAACAGCCTTTACCACAGGTAAAGGCGACCCTGTACCTATCTGCATGTCTATGAACATACCCGTCCGAGTGCATGCATACCTACGTCTCTGCTACACACTTGACACACGCATCCTCGTGTCTACTGTCCGAGAGCTATTGAGTAATAAGGTCTGTACGGAACAAAGAGTCTATTCATCCCATCCAGCCCATGCTAGCTCCCCGTGGAGCAATCCAGTCAGTCCCATTCCCCCGCTCTCTCCCCGTTACTCTGCAAGATTATTTCTCTCAAGTGCCCATCTTGTTTCCTTTTGAATTCATTCATTGTCTCTCCCTCCACCCTCCACCCCTTCTGTGGGCAATGAGTTCTGGGTCTTACCACTCCCTGTGGAAAAATGTTCTGCCTCACATTCCTCCCTCCCCCCATATCTCCTGACTGAAACCTTCAATCTGGGTCCCGTTGCCCCTGCACCATCAGCCAATGGGAGCAGCTTTCCTTGTCTCCCTTATCCAAACCCATTATAATCCCATCCATCTCGATCAAATCTCCCTTTGATCTCCTTTGCTCCATGGAGAACAACCTCAGCTTCTCCAACTGAACCTTGTCAGTTAAATCCCTCGTCGCAGGACCCATTCTGGTAAATCTCTCCTGCACACTCTCAAGGATCGTCTCATCCTTCCTTGTGTGTGGGCTCCAACCCCACACCATCCTTTAGTTTAGGCCTAACCAATGTTTTATAGAGACCGAGCAGCACTTCCCTTCTTTTACGCTCGATATGTCTATTTATAAAGCCCAAGATGCCATTTGCTTTTTAAACCAAAATCTCAAATCTGTGCCAACACCTTCAGTGATTGATGTACATGAATTCCCAGGTCCCACTGTTCTTGCACATTCTTTTGAACAATATCATTGAAATACATCACCTCACGTCTCCTTCTATTAATTTCCTGTGGCCCTCGGCTTCTCATTCTGCTGGCGTATCTGGGTCCTATTACAGACAATTGGCCAGGTCCTCTATGTTTACCACAAGTGACAGAACCAGTACTGGACTCTCATGTTACATTGCAGACAGACTCACTGATAGCTATTAATGTCAAGCAGATTATCATGTGTTCAGTGCCTGACTGTCTGGCAGAGCATCATGCCTGATCTGCATGTACTCCTGCATTGTGATCATTGCATGTAAATCTTGGTGTACTTCCGTGTGTTTGGATCATGTGTGAATCTGTGGGTACTCTGTGTCAGAAACATCCTGTATGGAAGTATAAGTGGATGCTGTAAATCAGGGACATAAACAAGTTGCTGGAAAAGCTCAACAGTCCTGGCAGTATCTGTGAAGAAAAATCAGAGTTAATGTTTCGTGTCTGATGATCCCTTCCTCCTGAGGAAGGACCACTGGACCTGAAACGTTGACTCTGATTTTTCAGAGTTAGAACTGCTTAGCTTTTCCAGCAATTTCTGTTTTTGTTCCTGTCTGGAAGTCTACTTGGACAGCTTGATTGGCCACACATCGACCTTCACATGAATAAATGTGGATTCAAATTAGTCAAGATGCAAGCTGAGTTTTCATAGAAAGATGTTTCATCTCATTCAGTCAAAAAGAACACACTTATGAATTGGCTCTTTTCCAGGGCAGAATATTTACATTGTTTGTAACACCATGCTGTCCCTGTCCTGGGATTGTTTGTTGGGGACAATGTCGAAGGAGCTTTACTCTGGATCTGACCCCATGCTGTATCTGTCACGGGAGCATTTGATGGGGACAGTGTAGAGGAAGCTTGAGTCTATATCTAACTCTGTGCTGTCTTTGTTCTGGGACTGTCAAGGGAGCTTTACTCTGTACCTAACCCCATGCTGTCCTTATCCTGGGAGTGTTTGGCAGATGCTCCTTTTAATATTTGAGTAACCTGATAAATTTAAATCTGGTGTTTCTGTCTTGAAAGGTATGAAGGTGGAATTGACAGAACCTCTCATGCCTGGGTTTGATTGTATCTTTGAGAAAGGGCATTGCAGGAACGGCATGTGGACCAACCAAGGGAACGGTAGAATGATAATTTAATATCATGCATGTGCATGATGCGTTGGATAACAAGAGGCAATGCGAGTCATTTGGGCATTCTGTCAAAAGAGGCAGGAGAGAGACAAGAGGCTGAATAGCCTTTGTGTTTGTTCCCAGCTTCTGGGCTTTTATTGTTCTGCTTTGAAAGCTTGTTGCTTCAGTTATGTGCCATGAATAACCAATGATTTTACCATTCAGAATCGTTTGTGGTTGCTCCTGTCAGCGCTTGATCCACTCAAGTTATTCTCATGGCCCTAATCACTTTATTGAACAAAATCATAACATCCTCAATTTTGAAATTTTTATACGTCCCTTTGTAACTTTAGTAACCATTTTGGGGTGAGACTTCCAGATTTCCAGGATTTATGAGAAGCTGCAGCCTGATGGCCTGTCTAAAATGTCAAGGTTATATTTGTAGATTGCCTCCCTTACTAGTGGAAATTGTTCCTCACTCCTAGCTGCCTCAACTCCCCTTAAATCATCTTCATCCTCTTAATCTAGTCACAGTTTAGTACTGGAGGATAGACTAACCACTGATACAACCTCTCCTCATTACTGAGCACAGGGTTATTCTGATGAAGCTGTGCTGCACTCCCTTCAGTATTTATTCCCTGATGAGTGAAGCCAGAACTGAACCAAGAATTTGAGGTGACATCTGAACAGAGCTCTGTACAGCTGGACCATCTCTTCCACTCTTTGCACCTTTGTCCGAGAGATGAAAGCCAACATGCCATTATCCTATTAATTGACTACTCACCAACTTTCTGGGGAATTTCCCAGTTCATCCACACCTTATGCCTTCTCACCTTTGAAATAACAGTAATGGCCTCACACTGCACATGTCTAAACATCACTGGCTCTCTCTAATCCTTTTGCAATTGTTTGACTGCTCAGTTTCTAATAACTGATTCCGGTAACTTGTCCACAATAGATGTTAGATTGATAAGCCTTCCATTTTACTTTAGTATATCTCCCCTACCTCCCTTAACTAATGGAGTGACATTGACAATCTTGCAGACCCATTTCTGAATCAACAGATGTCTGGAAGACCATGATGAGAGGAGACAGAATTTCCTCAAATAACATCTCTTGGAGAGATAATAAGAACTGCCGATGCTGGAGTCAGAGATAACACAGTGTGGAACTAGAGGAACACAGCAGGCTGCCAATGTGGTCTACTGCATCCGCTGCTCCCGATGTGGCCTCCTCTACATCGGTGAGACCAAGCAGATGCTCAGAGGCCACTTCGTAGAACAACTGCGCTCTGTTCGCGACAAACGACGACACCTTCCAGTCGTGAACCATTTCAACTCCCCCAACCACTCCCTGGGCGACATGTCCATCCTGGGCCTCCTCCAGTGTCACAATGACGCCAGCCGGAAACTGGAGGAGCAGCACCTCATATTCCACCTTGGGACCCTACAACCCAATGGTCTCAATATGGACTTTACTAGTTTCAAAATCTCCCCAGCCCCGGCCTCATCCCATGACCAACCCTTCACTGCATTCACCTATCACCATCCCACCTACCTTCCCTAGCCCCACCCCTCCTCTCTCTATTTATTTCAGCACTCCCTTGCCCCTCCCCCATTTCTGAAGAAGGGCCCCGACCCAAAACATCAGCTTTCCTGCTCCTCTGATTCTGCCTGCCCTGCTGTGTTCATCCAGCTCCACTCTGTGTTATCTCACATCTTGGAGATTTATCTATCTTTAGTCTTATTATGTTTTCCATTACTACTTCTCATTCTAACTAAATCTCACTTTGACTGAGCTTTAACCCCTACTGTGACGACTATTTTGTAAACTTTGCTATTGCCTGATTTTCAATTCCAGTATCGTCTGTGATGTGAATCATGGGCCCAAGTTACTCTTTACCATTGATTGTCTCTTGGTACACTTGTAAAAATCTTCCATGTTGCCCTGGCTGTCTTCTAAATGTTTTTCCTTGTAATCCCTGCGTGTAGTTTTTGCTACTTTCTTTGGATCTTTTTCTATCCCAATCCCAATTTATGGAATCTCTCTGCTTCTTTTTGCATTTCAGTGAGTTATTTCTTTTAATTTTCTTTTACCTCTCACTTTTCTTGTTGACATTAGTTGCTTAATTCCTGAATTTCTGAACAGTGAGTGGTTGACATTTATGAATTGTAGTTTCAGCAAACAGGATGTGATGTGTATCCTCAGGTAAGCATAGGTCAGTGACTATAGTAGTCTCCAAGACCTGTGGTGTTAACTGACCTCCCGGATATTGGTGTGTATAGTTTCATCTCTTCAAACAACAGAACCCATCTCACTCAGTTAGTAAGGTCACTGCGTCAGGAGCTTTCTAGGGGTTTGGGTTAGGTACAACAACATAAATCTTGAATCCAACCAAATAATTCTTCAAGCATCCCTTACTGTTTGTCAATCGGTTTATCAATTAACAAATCAGCGCAGTCAGCTCCAGATTAAGAACATAGAACAATACAGCACAGTACAAGCCCTTTGGCCCACAATGTTGTGCCGACCTATTATCGTACCCTGCATGCCCTACATTTTACTATCATCCAAATGCCTATCCAAGAGTCACTTGAATGTCCCTAATGTATCTGACAAAGCCTCGTATAAATTTAAAATCTTTGTTTGTGATTCATTTTGTCCACTCTCAAACCTATTTTTGAATTCTACCATGTGACGAACACTGTTAGTCAGGTCTTCTCTAACTGGAATGTTGTTGAAAATCCTTATTCACCACTCAATCAGAGATCCTTTGTTCTCTTGCTGGTTGAAGACCACACACTTCCGGAAAACTGTCCTCCATATGTCCAATAAGCTTCCTGTCTTCAGGATTGCAATGAATTTGTTTTCTCCAGACTGTGTGGAAGTGAAAATGTCCCTCTATAATGCTCAGATTTTACAGCAAATGTCTCAGATCTCCATCTTTACATGGTCCACCCTATTAATGCTGTTGCCGGGTATTGTGCAGACAGTTCCTATCAAAGTGTTCATCTTTTCCAATTCCTGAATTTTGCCCATATCTTTCAGACTGCCTTTCAACCCTGATTGATAAGCCAATTCCTTAATGTTCTAATCAATCAGGTATGGGGTGCATTCACTCTCCCCAACATCTAAACACAGGCCACTAATCCCCATTGTGTCCCAGTTCTCTGGATTTCTAGAGTCTTGGCAGTCCAGAATCACCATAGTGTCTCATTGCTCTAGAATTTCCAGTTTCTTAGCAGTCTAGAATTCCCATACAGTTTTGGCACTCCAGAATTCCCATATAGTTCTGGCACACCAGAATTCCTACAATGTCCCAGCTGTCTAGAATCCCCCCAAAATTTCAATATTCCAGAATTCCCACACTGTCCAGACACTCTGGAACTCCCATTTAGTTTTAAAATTCCAACATCACTTGAGGTTATTCCAATAATTTCCCAAAGTCCATGCACCCTGGAATTCCCACAGACCATATATTTCAGAATTCCTGTACTTTGTGTGTACTCCCCACACAGTTGCCACCTATTCCTGAATTTTCCACATGCGTATCGGACAGGCGATAGATTTCCCCAGAGTAGCCAGTTGGAAAATATTCCGACTTTGTGGCATCATTAGACCTGAGATAGTTGGCAGGTCACGGCTGAAGGGGCAGCGCCCACTATCTGAGACCTGGGAACAGGGCAAATGGTGAATTGTTGCTTGTTGTGCCTTTTGACAACTTCTGGATTCATTGCTCTCTTCCACAGAGCTTGATGCTCCCAGGAACCTGCGTGTGGTGAGTCCCGGGGACAGCAGGCTAGAGGTGGAATGGGACAACAGCCAAGCTGATGTTGACAAGTACAGGGTGGTGTACAGTACCCTGGCAGGCGGGCAGTACCATGAGCTGATTGTGCCCAAAAACATAGGGCCAACGAGCAAAGTCACTCTGACGGGTGAGTAACAGAGTTAGTAACATACAGGCACACACAGACACATACATATATGTGGAAACACCCACACATACAGGCACACTAACACAGTCTCTCTGACATGCACACGCACACGCGCGCACACAGACACACAGACTCACTCACTCACTCATACACAAATGCACACAATCAGACTAACATTCAGGATAATCCAAGATGGAGGATGGGAAGTAATTGTGACTGTAAGAGCTGCTCCTCTTTATAAGGCATTTTCAGTGTTGGAGCTGATTCTCTTGAATTCTTGGAGCAGTAATTACTATTTTATAAGCTGTTGCCTTGTTTTGGAACTTTGGAAAAAAATATCAAAACAACGACATTTTAAACAGGAGGAAGAGAGACAAAGCAGGGACCACATGAGAGGTGAAACAGAGCAGTAAATCTATACAGCTGTATGACCAAACAGTAAACCTGCATGGCTGACTGCCTCTGCTGTTTAGTTTCAAGTATCTGTGGACATCGGAGTTCGTTCTAAGAAAACAGTGAAATTCACAGCTGACCTTGGAGGCCTATGTGGGGCAGCTGACAACAAAGATACAGCTAAGAGGCAAATTTTAAAGTATGATCTTACTGTTTCTTTCATAAATCTACACTACTGAGTAGAATGCACTTTTTTTGATTATATATTTTATTGAGATCTGCCTCTTCATTAAACTTTAAAAATATGAATCATAGGTACTAAGTTATCCAAGAGCAATGTTTTTAGAGCAGTAAGACTGTGCTATTTTCTGGGTCTGTAGATTGTTAAGGTGCAAAGATGGTCTTTAATAGAGTGATTTGCTGTTCCTGTCAGATGTGGGAGATTAGGGAGAGTTTCCTTGTCACTTTTGATTATGTCTGCAGGAAGTGTGTTTGATCGGGAATCCTATTAGATTGCATGGATTGGTTAGAGCGACAGTTAGAGGCAATGAGGAATTTACAGGAGCTAGGGAGTGTGATAGATGGCAGTTGCAAGAAGGGAAATGAACTGCAGATACAGTCAGGTAGATGGGTTACCTCTAGGAAAGGTAGGAGAGGGAGACAGGTGCTGCAGGAGTCTCCTGTGGCTATCCCCATCTCAAACAAGTATGCTTTTTTGGAAAATGTAGGGGGTGAAGGACTCTCAGGAGAATGTAGCATAGACAGCCAGGTATCTGATACCAAGGCTGGCTCTAATGTAACAAGAGATATGTCAGGTTCCAAGTGAATGATTGTGATAGGGGACTCTCTAGTCAGAGGCACAGACAGACATTTCTGACAGCTGACAGTGAGACACCAGAATGGTGTGTTGCCTCCCTGGTGCCAGGATTAAGAATATCTCAGCGATGGTGCAGAATATTCTCAAAGGGGAAAGGGACTAGCAGGAGGTCATCGTACACATTGGAACTAACAACATAGGAAGAGAAAAGAAGAGATTCTGAGGAGAGAATATAGGAAGTTAGAGCAGGAATTTAAAAAGTGAGTCCTCAAGGGTAGTAGTATCTGGATTACTCCTGATATCACGAGCTAGTGAGGGTAGGAATAGGAGGATAGAGCAGATGAATGTGTGGCTGAGGAGTTGGTGCAGGGGAGAAGGATTTACATTTTTGGATCATTTGAATCTCTTCTTGCTGGGAGTGACCTGTATAAGATGAATGGATTGCACTTGAATTGGAATGGAACTTATATATTGTCAGGGAGATTTGCTAGAGCTGCTTGGGAGGATTTAAACTAGTAAGGGGGATTGGGACCAAGGGAGATAGTGGGACAAGGGAACAGTCTGACACTGGTGCAGTTGGGAAAAGGAGCAAGTCAAATAGTTAGGGCAGGCAGGAACAACACAGAGACTGATAATTTTAACTGCATTTATTTCAATGCAAGAGGCCTGACAGATAAGGCAGATGAACTCAGGGCATGGTTGGGAACATGGGACTGGTATATCATAGCCATTACAGAGACATGGCTCAGGGATGGACAGGACTGACAACTTTATGTTCCAGGTATGGATGCTATAGGAAGGATAGAAAGGTGGGCAAGGGGGGAGGGGGAGTGGTGTTTTTGATGAGGGATGACATTACGGCTATACTTAGGGAGGATATTCCTGGGAATACGTTCAGGGAAGTTACTTGGGTGGGACTGCGAAATAAGAAAGGAACAATCACCTTATTGGAATTGTACTATAGAACCCTCCAATAGTCAGCAGGAAATTGAGAAACAAATTTGTAGGGAGATCTCAGTTATCTGTAAGAATAATAAGGTGGGTAGTGGTAGGGGATTTTAACTTTCCAAATATAGACTGTGACTGCCATAGTGTTAAGGGCTTGGGTGGAGAGGAATTTGTAAAGTGTGTACAAGAAAATTTTCAGATTCAGTACATGGATGTACCTACTAGAGAAGGAGCAAAACTTGACCTACTCTTGGGAAGTAAGGCAGGGCAGGTGACTGAGCTGTCAGTGGAGGAGCACTTTGGGGGTCAGTGACCATAATTCTACTAGTTTTAAAATAGGAGTGGAAAAGGATAGACTGGATCTAAAAGTTAAAGTTCTAAATTGGAGGATGGCCAATTTTGGCAGTATTAGACAAGAACTTTCAAAAGTTGATTGGGGCCAGATATTCGCAGGTAAAGGGATGGATGGGAAGTGGGAAGCCTTCAAAAATGAGATAGTGAGAGTCCAGAGACATTAAATTCCTTTAAGGTGAGGGGCAAGGCTTGTAGATATAGGGAATGCTGAATGACTAGAGAAATTGAGGTTTTGGTCAAGAGAAAGAAGGAAGTATATGTCAGGTATAGACTTCTGGGATCGAATAAATCCTTAGAAGAGTATAAAGGCAGTAGAAGAATACATAGGGAAATCAGGAAGGCATAAAGGGGACCTAAGATAGCTTTGGCAAATAGGGTTAAGCAGAATCCAAAGGGGTTCAATAAATACATTAAGGACAAAAGGGTAATGAGGGAGAGAATAGGACACCTTAAAGATCAGCAAGTCCGCCTATGTGTGGAACTGCAGGACGTGGGGACATATTAAATGAGCATTTTGCAGTGGAGAAAGATTTGAAAGATAGAGAACTTGGAGAAATAAATAGAGACGTCTTGAAAAATGTCCATATTACAGAGGAGGAGGTTTTAGGTGTCTTAAAATGTATGAAAATGGATAAATCCCCAGGACCTGATCAGGTGTACCCTAGAACTCTGTGGGAAGCTAGGGAAGTGATTACTGAGCCCCTTGCTGAGATATTTGTATCATCGATGGCCACAGGTGAGGTGATGGAAGACTGGAGGTTGGCTAACGTGGTGCCACTATTTAAGAAAGGTGGTAAGGAAAAACCAGGGAACTATAGACCGGTGAGTCTGATATTGGTGGTGGGCGAGTTTTTGGAGGGGATCTTGAGGGGCAGGATTTACATGTATTTGGAAAGGCGAGGACTGATTAGAGATAGTCTACATGGCTTTATGTATGGAAAATCATGTCTCACTAACTTGGTTGAGTTTTTTAAAGAAGTAGTGAAGAGGATTGATGAGGGCAGAGTGGTGGGTGTGATCTATATGGACTTCAGTAAGGCTTTCAAAAAGGTTCCGCATGGTACACTGGTTACCAAAGTTAGATCACATGGAGTACAGGGAGAACTAGCCATTTGAATACAGAACTGGCTTGAAGTTAGAAGTTAGAAGTGGTGCAGCGTTGCTGTTCAAACTGGACGCTTGTGACAAGTGGTGTGCCATAAGGATCGGTGCTGAGTCCACTGATTTTCATCATTTATATAAATGATTTGGATGCGACCATAGAATGTATGGTTAGTAAGTTTGTAGATGACACTAAAATTGGAGGTGTAGTGGACAGCGAAGAAGGTTATGTCAAAGTACAATGGGACCTTGATCAGATGAGCCAATGGGCCAAGGAGTGGCATGTGGAGTTTAATTTAGATAAAGGTGGGGTGTTGCATTTTGGAAAGGCAAATCAGGGCAGGACTTAATCACTTGATGGTAAGGTCCTGGGGAGTGTGGCTGAACAAAGAGAGCTTGGAATGCAGGTTCATAGTTCCTTGAAAGTGGAGTCGCAGGTAGAGGGATAGTGAAGAAGGTGTTTGGAATGCTTGTCTTTATTGGTCAGTACATTGAGTATAGGAATTTGGAGGTCATGTTGCGGCTGTACAGGACATTGGTTAGGCCAGTTTTGGAATAGTGCATTCAATTCTGATCTGCCTGCCATAGGAAAGATGTTGTGAAGCTTAAAAGGGTTCAGAAAAAATTTACAAGGATGTTGCCAGGGTAGGAGGTTTTGAGCTATAGGGAGAGGCTGAATAGGCTGGGGATTATTTTTCCTGGAGCGTAGGAGGCTAATGTTATAGAGGTTTATAAAATTATGAGGGGCATGGATAGGGTGAATAGACAAAGTTTTTTTCCATAGGATGGAGGAGTCCAAAACTAGAGAGAGCATAGGTTTAAGGTAGACGGAAAGGTTCAATAGGGACCTAAGGGGCAACCTTTCATGCAGAGGGTAGAATGTGTATGGAATAAGCTGCCAGAGGAAGTGGTGGAGGCTGGGACAATTACAACACTTAAAAGGCATCTGAATATGAAGGGTTTGAAGGGATATGGGCCAAATGCTGGCAAATGTGACTAGATTTATTTAGGATATCTGGTCGGCCTGGATGAGTTGGACTGAAGGGTTTGTTTCAGTGCTGTACATCTCTATGACTCTATAACTAGTACTAGATGCCAGAGGAAACAATTTGAAAACTTGGAGATGAGTGAGAAAGAGAGTGATAGAGGGCATAGAGTGGAGTGTCCTTAGTGTATATGTAAAATAAAATTGATGGGAGGTGTGAAATTTACATATATTTTAATTTTACTTATTTTTGAGTTTGGAAATTTTGAATTTGAACTTGTGGCATATGGGCTGTGACATGAGTGTCTAAAGGGGCTTAATGAAGTTGCAGTATTTCTGCAGACCTGGTAATTTATTGCAAAATAGTAAAACGAAATGAAAAATCTCAGAGCAGGGCGTCACGTATTTAACATGGAGATGAGATGAACTTATCTCAGAGTAGTCAATCTATGGAATTCTTCACACAGGGCTATCAGGCTATTAAATATATTCAAGGTGAAGACAGACAATTTTTTTTAATCACAAAGAGAATCAAGAGTTTATGGGGAAGAAGAAGAAAAGTGGTGATGAGAATTAGATTAGCCATGATCTCATTGAACAGCAGAGTAGACTTGATGGGCTAAATTGCCTCTTCCTGCCCCTACACCACATGGTCTTCTGAGAGAACGATGTCCTGAAGAAAATGTAATCAGTTTTAGTTTACACTGGAAGAATTTTACCAGCACATTACTCTCCTGGTTGGAAGGTAAGAAACTTATTTCTTTTTTCTTTTGCCTGGGGTGTGGGAGTCCAAAACTAGATGGCTTAGATTTAAGGTGAGAGGGGAAAGATATAAAAGAGATCTAAAGGGCAATTTTGCTTTTTCACAAAGGGAGTGTTCTGTGTATGGAATGATCTGCCAGGTGGAGACTGGTAAAATTACAACATTTAAAAGGCATCTGGATGGGTTTACGAATATGAAGGATTTAGAGGGATATGGACCAAATGCTGGTAAATGGGACTAGATTAATTTATTAGTATCTGTTTGGCATGGACAAGTTAAACCGAAGGGTCTGTTTCTGTGCTGCACAACTCTATGACCCTATGACTCTAATTGTAACCTGACTCCCACTCCCTCACCCCATGATGGTTTGCTACATTATACCCCTCTCCCCACTATGATCTTTCTGTTTGAGTTCTGCTGAAACTTGCCTTTGTATCGAGTGCACACTGTTACAAATGGAGCAAAACTAATTGTTAACCCTTTCCAAAATATATGTAGTGTCTGTATTAGAAGCACAGCAAACAGCCTAATAAAGGTGACCTCTACAATCATGAAACTTGATTTAGCAATAGTCTTCTGGAAACTCCTCTGAAGGCAATGTCAGAAGGGGAATCAATACCCTTGCACTTTGAGATAAATCACCACTGTTGTAATCTACAGCAGAGACAATTGTCACCAAGAAAAACCACAGGAAGATATTGAGGCAAAGAGATTGAATGTTTTCAAGACAAAGTTAAATATGGTTCTTAGGGCTAAAGGAATCAAGAGTATGGGGAGAAAGCAGGAAGAAAGTATTGAGCTGGATGGTCAGCCATTAGCAAATTGAGTGGCAAAGGACTGAATAGCCTACTCCTGCTTCTGTTGTCTATGTTTCGATGATTCTTTGAAAGGAGAACCCTGAATTCCAATTGTAATCAAACAGCTAAGAATGCTGGAAGATTAAATGGAATTCATTGGTAATGGTGCACATCCACTGGATTGGGCCCGAGATAGATACCCCACAATGGGGCAACAGCCAAATCTACAGGAACCTTAGCTGCACAATCTAGCCCCTTGGGCCAGTGTGTCCTCCATTGGCGCAAATGGGCACTCCCTCTGAAATCAGTTGAAGTTTTCTTCTCTTGGGGAACAGTGTTCCTAAACTCCTCCCCAAAAGGAAGCCAAACAATGAAACTCTGAAACACTGGGATTATCCAGTCTCTAATGACAGGGAAAGTTCAGAATCTGCATCGAAAGCCAGGTTTCAGATCAGAGAAGTGGATGGAGGGTGATTGTCTGTCTCCCGTTTCCTCTTCTCCCCAGTGACCATAGGAATAGTCCCTGAACCGCCAGTAGCAGGGACTTCCTACTCAGCAATGACCCAGCCTGCAATCAGTTAAGCTAATTATTGCAGTAATGCTGATAGTGAGGGAGATTGGTTTTGTTATAACTTTCTGATTGCCTTCTGTCTCGATTTTATCTGCAGACCTATTGCCTGGAACCGAGTATGGGATAGGAATATCAGCCATAAAGGAGACTAAACAGAGTGTTCCAGCCACCATGAACGCAAGGACTGGTAAATCCCAAACACCATCTTCCTGTGGAATTTTACCCCACTCTGTCTATTTCACTCCATTCATTTTGTTTTTCTGAAGTGCCAGTGTTGAGTGAACCAAGGGAGATATGCGTGGAAAGTTCTTTACGCAGAGAATGGTGGGCGCCTGGAATGCGTTGCCAGCAGAGGTGGTAGAGGCGGGCGCGATAGCGTCATTTAAGATATATCTAGACAGATACATGAATGGGCAGGGAGCAGAGGCTTGGAAAATAGGCAACAGTTTTAGATAGAGGATCTGAATCGGCGCAGGCTTTGTGGGTCAAAGGGCCTGTTCCTGTGCTGTCATTTTCTTTGTTCTTTGTCACGTTGTTGGCATTGACTAAGGATGGCGCCTATTACCAATGGCAGAGATGGCGCAATTGTCCAGTCTCCAGGGTTGTTAAAGTGACGGGGCACAGGACCAGTGATCTCCAAAGATAGTCAACCACCATAAATGATGCAGGCAACAACATCCCTGATAAAATGGAGGCTTTCTGACAAAGGCATTAAATACCTGGCAATGATTCGTACAACCTGCAGCACTCATTGGGGCTGGTAGCTATGTGTGAAGCTGGGTAGGGAAACTGTCCGGCGGGTGTATGAACTAGTGTCCAAGGATAGCGGAGGAGAATAATATTGGGAGCAACTGGGGCAGGGAGGACTTGGAGGTGAAGCAGGTCAATGATATCAGAGGTGAGGTGCAGAGGGAGTGGGTGGAAATGATATTTGGGTTTGGTAAACAGAAGGCAGTGCTCAGGCAGGGGCCAGCTACATATTATTAGGCAATCCTTCCTGGAATGTGGAGACCAAAACTGGAAACAATCCTTGAGCTGAGGCCAAACCAGAGTTTTGAAAAGGTTTGGTGTTCAGTTCTCTATTTATGAAACTCAAGATCCTATTTGCTTTGGCAGTCGCAGTATATCCTGTAATCTTCACAAATCAATATCCAGACACCTTAAGGTCTTCCATTCTTTAGAATTGTGCCAAGAAGTCTGTCTTACATCTCACCATTCCTACCTCAGAAACATATCACCTCACACTTCCTACATTAAATTTCATTCACCATCTGTCTGCCCATTCTGCCAATCTATCCCTGTCCTGTTAAAGGATTAACTTTCTTTGATGTGTAACTGAGTTGCAGTTTGTTTTTCTTGCCTTAATGAATTTAAAATCTTTGCATGGTTTCACGAATGAAAGCATTCTTCTTCCCTATCAAGATTGTGTAAGAGATGCTTAATTCGACTGTTGGAAGATTTTTTTTTTAATCTCCACATGGCTCCTGAGATAGTGCAGATACATTAGTCCAAATGGCCTACCTCTCATCCAAGCAATTCTGTGATTCTGGAAGGGGCATTGTTGGCATGTGGGAGCAAGGGTTGTTGACAGGAACTGGAAGATGTGGGGAGTGAAAGCTAGAGGGCTGAACAGATTTAAAGTCTGTGGAAAAGGTCCAGATTAAAGGCAGCCTCCGAATCAGTTGCTTTGACATTTGCTTGCCCCTCTGGTCTGTTTCGGGAGACACAGGGATGTGACCTGTCCTGCCCTTTCCTCCTCAGAGTGAAAATAGCCTGAAACAGATCTTTCATGTACAAGTGGATTCGGGAATTTACTGCCTTCAGTCCCTCTGCCTAGATCCTGAGAATCCGTGAGATTGTGAATTATGATTTTCTTGTACATAAACAAAACGTTTAATCCCAGAAGGGCCTGACCTTCAAAGCCATGAGCTTCAATGTCAACAAGCTGTTTACATGGTGTTTTATCAAATGGCTTTCTTAAAATCCAGATAGACAATGTCCACCACATTCCCTCCATCAGCCTTCTCTGTTGCTTCTTCAAAACATTTAAGGAGATTTGTCAAACATAATCTATCTGCTACAAATCTGTCCCGTCTTGCCGTAATTAACTCATACCTTTCTTGCTGGGGTTCTTTTACCTGATCATGGATTCCAAAACATTGCTCACTATGGTTATAGGGTGGATTTGTCCAGTAGGTAATACACCAGGATTTCTAAGGTGGTAATACTCATGGAGTGAGGATATTTTTGGTTGGGGTTTAATTTGAGGTGATTCAGAGAACTGGTGCAGGAATAGAGCAATTTGAGATTGAATGACAAATACCCCCATGCCACCCCCCGGACTGAATAACGACTCCAAGGATTGAGTGACACAAACTGAGATTGAAAGTTGAACCCCAAGATTGAGAGGCGACCCCCTAGGATTGAGTGATGAACCCTGGGATAGAGTGTTGAGCCCCGGAATTGAGTGACAACCCCTGGGATTGAGTGTTAAACCCAGGGATTGAGTGACGATCCCTGAGATTGAGTGGTGAACGCCTGGGATTAAGTGATGACCCCTGAGATTGAGTTATGACCCCAAGGATTGCGTTATGACCCCTGAGGTTGAGTGACAATCCCCTAGGGTTTGAATGATGGGTCTCAGGGTTGAATCTGGCCCAGAGTTTCTCGGTGGCCTCATGTTGCCCCTCTCCCTGCAGAGCTGGATCGTCCTCTTGGCTTCACTGTGGCAGCCTCGTCCAACAGCAGCATCTCCCTGGTGTGGACACAGATCCGGGGCCCTGTCGATCACTACCAGGTCAGCTACAGTACAGCAACGGGTGTCAATTCACAGGTGACCGTTCCAAAGGGCAATACTACCGTGACCCTCAATAACCTGGAGCCCCACACAAAGTACAACCTGTCGATCGTGGCAGTACGAGGCTGGCAGCAGAGCTATCCGTCTATCACCGAGGGCATGACAGGTGAGTGCCGGGGAGAGTGACCTTCAGTCATCAAGTGGGTGATGGGGAAAATCAGTGAGAGAGAGCAAGGATGGGAGTCACAAGGTGATTTACTCACTGCTGGATTCCTCACCTCTGAACTGCTCTTGTACGATCATAGGATCATTCAGTACAGAAGAGGTCTTTCAACCAATTGTATCTGCAGGTCTCTAAACCTATACTAGTCCCACTTTTCCGCACTGGGCCCACAGACTTGAATGTTATGACATTTCCAATGCTCATTCAAGTACTTTTTAAAGGTTCTGATTTTTCTCACCTCAACTATCCTCCCAGGCAGTGCTTTCCAATCGCCACCAACATCTGGGTGAAAAGGGTTTTCCTCAAATCCTCCTCCCTTTCACCACAAAATTATTTTCCCTTCTGATTGACCCTCCGACTAAGGGGAATAGCTGCTTTCTATCCATCCTGTCTGTGTCCGTCATTAACATATACCCCTCTATAAGGGCCCCCCTCAACTTTCTCTGCTCCAATGAAAACAACCCGAGCTTACCCAGCCTCTCTTCAGCGTTGAAACGCTCCATCCCAGGCAACATCCTGGTGAATCTCCTCTGCACCCACTTCAGTACAATCACATCCTTCCTATAGCGTGGTGACCAGAACTGCACACAGTGCTCCAGCTGTGACCTAACCAAAGTCCTGTACAGCTCCAACATACCCTCCCTGTTCTGTGCCATGACTGATGTGTTTTACTTGCCCTGTTAACCTGGCCTGCCACCTTCAGGGATCTATGGTCAAGCACCCTTGCTCCTGCCATTCTTCGAATACTCCCTTGTCTCATTCCTTCTTCTAAAATGTATCATCTTACATTCATCAGGGTTAAATTCCATTTGATACTGACCTGCCAATCTGACCAATCTGTTTATATGCTCTGCTAACCTAACACCTTCCTCCTCACTGTCAACTTCCTGGCCAGTCTTTGTGTCATCCGCAAATTACTTATCAGCCCCCACCCCCACATTCTCATCTCCATCATTTATGAATATCACAAACAATAAGGGACACAACACTGATCCCTGTGGTACACGCACATTGGGCTCCAGTCATGTAAATAGCCTTCCATCAGCACCCTCTGTCTCCTGTCATTAAGATAATTTTAGATTTCACTTGCCAAGTGACCCTGGATCCCATGTACTTTTACCTTCTTTATCAGTTTCCCAATAGAATCTTGTCAAATGTTTTGCTGAAATCCATATCAATCACATTAACTGCCCAACCCTCATCAAAACACTTGGTCACCTCCTCAAAAAATTCCACCAGATTTGTTAGGCATGACCTCCCTCTGACAAAGCCACGCTGACTATCCCTGATCAAACCTTACCTCTCTGAATGGAGATTAATTTTGTCCTTCAGTATTTTCTCCAATAGTTCCCCTACTGCTGATGTTAGACTCACTGGTCTATAGTCCCCTGGTCTATCTCTACCACCGTTCTTGTCAAGTGGAGCCACTTAGCTGTTCTCCACTCCTCTGGCACTTCCCCAGAGACAATTTAAAAATTTGAGCCAGGGCCCCTATAATTTCGGCCCTTGTCCCCCACAGCACATTGGGATACAACACATCCAGACCTGGGGATTTATCCAATTTTATCCAAATCTACTAAAATCGCCAACACCTCCTCACTACCTATGTCAGTCCGCTCAAAAACGTCATGGTCCATTTTCTTGAATTCTGTACTCACGTCCTTCTTTTCCTGAAGAAAGTTAGTTATGAAGCATTCACTTAATATTCTACCAACGGATCCTAGCATCGTGCACAGATTGTCCCTTAGTCCTGAATGGGGCTTTACTGGCCCTGGTCCTCTTTACCCCAGATATACTTGTAGAATATCTTAGGATTCTCCTTAATTTTACCTGTTAATATTTTCTAATGTGCCCTCTATGATCTCCGAATTTGTTTCTTCTGTTCACCCCTGCACTTCCTACGCTTCTCTAGGGCCTCCACTGTTTCACTCCCTTTGGACCCGTTATACATTTCTCTTTTAGTTTTTCAATCCAGTCCTGACAATTCATAGATGTCCAGGATTATCTAGGCTTGTGGCTGCTATATTTCTATCAGAAGGGAACATGTTGGGCCTGTACTCTCCCTAATATCTTTTTGTACACCTCCCACTATTCAGCTGTAGATTTGCCCAGAAATAGCTGTCATGTGAGATACTAATCGATCGTTTTCTGTGATATTTAGGTTACTACCCAGTGCAGGAGTTACTGTTCTCCGAAATCACGGAGAACTCTGTCAATGTGTCCTGGCAGCAGCCAACTTCTGCCACTGACGTCTTTATTCTAAATTATAATCCCCGCTCGCATGGAGAGACAAAGCAATTGATAGTGAATGGCAGAGAGACCCATACAACACTCTCCAACCTCCAGCCTGGAGTAGATTATCTGGTCACATTGCTTGCTGTGCAGGGAACGGTCACTGCAGAGCCTGTGCTGGGATCATTCACAACAGGTAGGAGAGAGTTCGCAATCTATCCCTCTCCTCTATCTGAGACACTCTAATTCCCCTCTCACTCTCTTGTATCTGAGACACTCTAATCCCTCTCTCACTCTCCTCTATCTGAGATACTCTAATCCCTCTCTCACTCTCCTCTATCTGAGACACTCTAATCCCCCTCTCACTCGCTTGTATCTGAGACACTCTAATCCCCCCTCACGCTCCTCTATCTGAGACACTCTAATCCCTCTCTGACTCTTTTGTATCTGAGACACTCAATCTCTCTTTCACTCCTCTACCTGAGACACTCCAATCTTTCTGTCGCTGTCCTCTATCTGAGACACTGTGATCACTCTCTTGCTGTCCTGTATCTGAGACATTCTAATCCTGCTTTCACTCCCCTGTGTTTCAGACACTAATCATCTCATTCTCCTGTCTTTCTGATCTGCTGTTTTCACTGAATGTTTTTCCCAATATTTCCATCTTCCTGCAGCCTTGGACCCACCTCGGAATGTAACGTTCACTAATGTTTCCGAGGACTCGGTGACAGTGGTGTGGAGCAGGCCTGTTGCTGCCTTCGATCATTACCAGATGCTGTACCAGCCAGCGGCTGTCCTACAGGGTGAGCCATGTGGATGCACGTCCTGTTAGCCACAGATGGATTGCTCTCATTCTGCTTGATCTAACTCACTCACAGAGACTGCTTCCACTAGGCAGGACTGGAAAGTGCTTCGCTCTGTACCTAACCCCGTGCTGTCCCTGTCCTGGCAGTGTTTGATGGGGACAGTGCAGTGCGAGCCTTACTTTCATGTTAAAAGAGTAGAGGGAGCTTTACTTTCACCTTCTAAGAATAGAAGCAGAATTACTTTATCCACTCCTAGTGTAAACATTCCCACATGGTGTTGTTTTTCTTGCTTCACATTGTGTGGGGCTTGTGTATATTTGCTATGTTAGTTATGTATGGCTGTGTACATTGCATGATGTTAATGCACTGAAGTGATTAAATTAAATGCTGCCTATTCACAGGAGTCCATCACATCCATTGCTGTTCCCCGTCATTCACACATCCCTCCACCTTCCTATCCCTGTAGCCGTTAACATCTTTTTAGGTAATGTTTTAACTCATTTGAAAGTCTCAATCGACCCTGCTTCCCCCAGTCTCCAAAGCAGTGCATTTCAGACCCTAACCACATCTGAAATGAAATAGTTCTCCTGAAGTCACCAGTTACTTTAAATCTGTGTTCTCTCCTCTTTTTGATCTTGTCACCAACAGGAACAGTTTTTCCCTGTCTCCCTGTGTCCCGACATCTCATGATTTTGTCATAACATTCATTTTCACAGAAGTGCCAGGCAATGATCATCTCCAACAAGAGAGAATCTGACCATCACTTCTTGACATTTAATGGTGTTACCAAAACTGAATACCCCACTATCAGCATCCTAGGGGTTACCATTGACCAGAAACTCACTGTATATAGATACAGTGGCTACAAAAACAGGTCTGAGACTAGGAATGCTGTGGCAAGTAACTCATCTCCTAATTCCCCAAAGTCTGTCCACCGTCTACAAGGCACAAGTCAGGAGTGTGAGGGAATACTCCCCACTTGCCTGGATGACTGCAGCCCCAACAGCGCTCTAGAAGCTTTACACCATCCAGGACAAAGCAGCCTGCTTGATTGGCATCACATCCACAAGCATCCACTCCCCCCACCACCGATGCTCAGTAGCAGCAGTGTGTACTATCTACAAGATGCACTGCAGAAATTCACTAAGGATCCCTAGACAACATCTTCCAAACTCATTACCCCCCGAAGGACAAGGGCTGCAGATACATGAGAACACTACCCCCGGAAAGTTCCCCTCCAAGCCACTCACCATCCTGACTTAGAAATAGATTGTCATTCCTTCACTGTCACAGGGACAAAATCTTGGAAGCCCCCTCCCTAAGGGCATTGTGGGTCTACTACTCCAGTGGTTCATGAAGGCAGCTCACCATCATCTTCTCAAGGGCAACTAGGGATTGGCAAGTAATGCTGGTCTAGCCAGTGACATCCCAGTGAAAGTATATTTTCTTTGAAAACGTGGTTGTTCAATTATACCCCACCTTAGCCTTCTCTTCTGCTAGTGAAACAGTCCCAGCTTTTCCAATCTAGCTTTGAAGAGAGTTCCTCACTCCTGGAGACATTCTTGTGAACCTCTTCCGCACTCTGGCGGCATGGTGGCTCAGTGGTTAGCACTGCTGCCTCACAGCACCAGGGACCTGGGTTCAATTCCACCCTCGGGCGACAGTCTGTGTGGAGTTTGCACATTCTCCCCGTGTCTGCGTGGGTTTCCTCTGGGTGCTCTGGTTTCCACCCACAGTACAAAATGTAGATTGGCTAAGCTAAACTGCCCGTAGTGTTCAGGGATGTGTAGATTATGTGGATTATAGAGGGATGGGTCGGGGTGGGATGCTCCAAGGGTTGGTGTGGACTTGTTGGGCCGAAGGGCCTGCTTCCACATTGTAGGGATTCTATGATTGACTCTCTCTCAAGCCAACACATTGTTTGGAAGTGCGGTGCTCAAGGCTGGACCTCATGACCTATACTCGTCAGCTCTTCGAAGGCACCTTTCAAGATGTGATGGGAGAAAAGGGAAACATTGACATTTCCCAGTGCATTCCATCCTCCGAGGTATCTTGAGGGAGGTGGGATCAGGCCAGCACCAAGTCTTCTCCTCCTCCAGTTACATCCAGCTAATTATCGTTAACCAAGCCCCTTCCTGGGTGCAAATAGATGGTGCTCGCACCTCATTGATGACCATGGTCTGGGGATGAGGGCGAGGGTGATGGCAGTGAGACTCCCACCTACGTGTCAAAGCTGCAGGTGAGAAGGCCAGGATCCAGACTCTGGGTAAAAGTCGATAAAACTGCGGACGCTGTAAATCAGAAACAAAAACAAAAATTGTTGGAAAAGCTGATCTGGTCTGGCAGCGCCCATGTAGAGAAATCTGAGTTAATGTTTCGGGTCAAGTGACCCTTCCTGAGAAACGTTAACTGATTTCTCTCCTCAGATGCTGCCAGACCTGCTGAGCCGAGCCGAGCTAAGTTTTGTGGCGTGGTTCCAGAACTCCGGCTCATTTGGAGGAATCTAAACCCAGAATGTAAGTGGGCAGGGCTCGATCCCATCAGATTCAGAGACCAAGCCAGTATTTAAAACCATTCAGCATTTCTGCTTTTGTACTCTGTGCCTCCCTTCATAAAAATGATGTCCACGAAGTATTAGTCACCACTATCTCCATATGCCCTGTCACCTTCAGTAATTCGTGCACACCTGAACTCCCAATTCCCACTGCTCCTGCACCCCCTTCAGAGGTGTATTTCAAATTGTGTCTCCATGCTTTTCCTACCAAAATGGATCACTTCACACTTCTCTGCTTTAAATTTCATCAGTCAGCTGACCACCCATTTCACCAATCTGTCTATGTGCTTTTGAAGTTGTACAGAACTTCAGTGAGACGACATTTGGAATATTGTGTACAGGGCTGGGTGAAGAGGGGTGTGTACAGGACTGGGTGAAGGAGGATGTGTACAGGACTGGGTGAAGGGGGACGTGTACAGGACTGGGTGAAGGGGTTTGTGTACAGGACTGGGTGAAGAGGGGTGTGGACAGGACTGGGTGAAGGGGGGTGTGGACAGGACTGGGTGAAGGAGTGGGTGTACAGGACTGGGTGAAGGGGTTCTGTTCATGGCAAGGTGCTGGAATTCTGTGTGCTAGTTATTTTGATTCTCAGTGTCGTAAATGTTCGCTGCTGATTTACCTGTGACCCTTTTTGTATTTGTGCGATTCAGGGTCGGCTGAGAGTGTGGTCATTGAATCATATCTTACCGAGTACACCCTGACTGACTTACAGCCAGCGACGGAGTACAAGGTGAATTTAAACACAGTGCGAGGACTCGCTGAGAGTCGGTTCATTTCAAACACTGTTCAGACAGGTGAGTAACTGAACCGGCCCATCCCGACTTCAATTCAGTAACTGAGCCAGGCCTTACAAAGACCTGTTTATCTCATTGTGTGACCTCACTCAGACCCATCGGACAACAACACCTCATATTCCGCTTGGGGACCCTACAGCCCTCTGGACTCAATATCGAGTTCAATAATTTTAGGGCCTAAATTCTCCCATGTCCCAGCCCCCTACCCCACACACCAGGCCTTGTTACCACATAGCCTGCCATTACACACCCCCTGTTGTTAGTCACTAACAGTCCCCATTAACAGTTAATCACCTCCCAGTCTGATCGTTAGCAACTCCTTTGTCTGTCCAACTGCTCTTCTCTCTCTTTGGGCTCTCTCCTATCGTTTACTCCCTACCCCACCCACCTCCCTATTTTCTGCATATAAACCGACATTTTCCCAGCCACCATCAGTTCTGAGGAAGGGTCACCGGACCCGAAACGTTAACTCTGATTTTTTTTTCTTCACAGATGCTGCCAGACCCGCTGAGCTTTTCCAGCAACTTTTGCTTTCGTTCCTGATTTGCAGCATCCGCAGCTCGTTCAGTTTTTAAGTGAAATTTTAAGATTCATTTTGGGTCTCTGGGCAATGAGGGTGATGTTGATGAGGATAATAATGTGATAGTTGTGATGAAGATAATGGTGTCAGAGATGGTGGTATTGTGATGAAGATAGAGTTGGTGACAAAGAAAATGGTGAAGGTGATGGTGATAATGAAGATGTTCATGATAATGGAGATGATGGTGTTGCTAATGACAGACATGAAGGTAGAGGAAGAGTCAATGATCACGGAGAGAGAGTGCGGTGATGGTGGAGGGAGAGTCATAGAATAGAATCACTACAGAGTGGAATTAGGCCTTTTAAGTCCTTACTGATGTCCTTGAAGAGTAGTCCACTCAGGCCCACCCCACCCCATCCCCGCATTCACCATGGCCAACCCACCTACCCTGCACGTCTTTGGGCTGTGGGAGGAAACCGGAGCACCTGGAGGAAACCCACGCAGACACAGGAGGAATGGGCAAACTCCACACAGACAGTCACCCGAGGGTGGAATCGAACCCGGGCCCCTGGCGCTGTGAGGCAGCAGTGCTAACCACTGAGCCACCCATGCAGTGATGGCCAAGAGAGAGCGGTGACGGTGGAGGGAGAGTTCAGTGACGGTGGAGGGAGAGTGCGGTGGTGGTCGAGGGAGTGTGGTGATGATGATGGAGAGAGAGCGGTGACGGTGGAGGGAGAGTGCGGTGGTGGTCGAGGGAGTGCGGTGATGATGGTGGAGGGAGTGCAGTGATGATGGTGGAGGGAGAGCGGTGACGATAGAGGGAGAGTGCAGAGGAGGTCGAGGGAGTGCGGTGATGATGGTAGAGGGAGAGCAGTGACGGTGGAGGGAGAGTACGGTGGAGGGAGAATGCGGTGGTGGTCGAGGGTGTGCGGTGATGATGATGGAGGGTGTGCGGTGCTGGTAGAGGGAGAGCGGTGACGGTGGAGGGGGAGTGCGGTGGAGGTCGAGGGAGTGCGGTGATGATGGTGGAGGGAGACTGGTGACGGTGGAGAGAGAGTACGGTGGAGGGAGAGTGCGGTGGTGATCGAGGGAGGGCAGTGATGACGATGGAGGGAGTACGGTGATGACGATGGAGGGAGTGCGGTGATGACGATGGAGGGAGGGTGTGGTGATAGTGATGGAGTGGGAGCACGGTGGTAGTCAAGGGGGAATGCTGAAGGGAGCCTGTGATACTGATAAACAATTAATGGTGATGTTTTCCATTGTTCCTTTCTCCCCACCATGTTTCCAGCCATGGACAAGCCCCTGGGCGTGCGGGTTCTGAACATGACTCCCACAGAAGCCGTGCTCGAATGGATTGCACCTCAGGCCACAGTGGAAAACTATGTTATCTTCTTAACACAAAACCAGCGTAGGTGTTAAACAATGGAGTTCAGATTGCATGTAATCTCTTTATCATAGTATTCTGTGTATTCACCACCAACCCCCACCCCTCCCTCTATCCAATTTAAAGACTCTCGCTAAATTCTGGTCTTCTTCCTGGACCCTGTGCACTTTCAGTGTGTGCTCACTGTATCCTCAATTTCCTCTGAATAAGATCTTGCAGTACCTTGAGCTGTTCATACTGTGCCCCATGCTGGACCGTGCTGTATGTGTGCTCTCTCTCTATATGTCTCTGCTGCTTCATGCTGACTGCTGGATAATCTGCTTTCAGTTCTAGTTGTTGCTAACACTGTCCATGCTGATGGAGAGATGACACGGTACCAGCTCAGCGGACTCCAGCCGTTCACGAATTACTCCGTCACCATCTACGCTGTCAGAGATTTCCTGACCAGTGTCTCAGCCTCCACCAACTTTCTTACTCGTACGTAGCCCCTTCACATAACCCAGGGATGTTCAAGCCAAGTGTGAAGCAGTCACAGACACAGTCACAAACACAGCAGAGTGGGCAAGGTATATACAGGGAGTTTGTTTCTAGATGTGGTCACTCCACAGCTTCAGAGTATGCAGGGAGAGAGGGAATGGGGGAGAAGCAGGCAGTCCAAAAGGATCAGGCAGCTAGTAGAGGAGTCCCCTGAGTGTACCCCACTCTCCAACCAGGATTCAGTTCAGAATCCTGATGGGATTGATGGTTCATCTGGGGAGCGCAGCCAGAGCCAAGCCCATGGCACCACGAGTGGCTCAGCTGTCTGGGGGTGGGGAGGGGGCACAAGGAAGACTGGAAGAGCGATAGTGAGAGGGGATTCGAGAGCAAGAGCAATCAATAGCTGTTTCTGCAGCTGCAGATGGGAATCGAGAACGGTGTATTGTCTCCCTGGTGCCAGGGTCAAGGCTGTCACTGAGCAGTTGCAGAGCACCCTGAGGGGAGAGGGGGAACAATCAGCAGTCGTGATCCACATCGGTCCCAGTGACAGAGAGAGAAAAGGGATGTGGTCCTGCAGTCAGAATTTAGGGAGATCGGCAGGGAATTAGCAGCAGGAGCTCAAAAGGAGGAATCTCCAGATTACACCCAGTGCCGCACACAAGTGAGAATAGGAACAGGAGGATAAGAGAGGTGAATGTGGGACTGGAGAGAGAGTCCACAGGGAGGGCTTTAGATTTTTGGGACATTAGGACTGGCTCTGGGGGAGTTGGGACCTGGACAGACTGGATGGGTTGCTTCTGAACAGAGCTGGGACTAAGTTCCTTGTGCTAGTACTGTTGGAGAGGGTTTAAACTAACTTTTCACACGCAAGCCTCCATTGGTAAGTGCATTGACTGTAGGAGTTGGGACATTACGTTGTACAAGACATTAGTGAGGCCAGTTTGGAATACTGTGTACAATTCTAGTTGCCCTGCTCTAGGAAGGATGTTGATGGGCTTGAAAGGATGCAGAAAAAGTTTACAAGGATGTTGCTGGGACTGAAGAGTTTGAGCTGTAGGGAGAGGCTGAATGGGCTGAGACTTTTTTCCTTGGAGCATGAGAGGCTGAGGGGTGACCTTACAGAGGTTTATAAAATCATAACGGCCATAGATAAGGTGAATAGCCAAGGTCTTTGTCCTAGGGTAGGGGAGGCCAAAACTAGAGGGCATAGGTTTAAGGTGAGAGAGGAAGATTTAGAAAGGACCTGAGGGGCAACTTTTTTACACAGAGAGTGGTGCGTGTATGGAAGAAGCTGCCAGAGGAAGTGGTGGAAGCAGGTACAATTACAACATTTAAAAGGCATCTGGATGGATACATGAATAGGAAAGGTTTACAGGGATGTGGGCCAAACTCAGGCAAATGGGACAAGATCATTTAGGATACCTGGCTGAGTTGGGTCAAAGGGTCTTTTTTTTCCATGCTGTATGACTGTGACTCTATGACTTGGCAGTGCTATGGGAACCAGGGAATATCAGAGATGAGCTCCAAGGTCCACAGAATCCTGGGAGAGATAGCTAGCAGCAGAAAAAGGAATAGTAACTTATTAGGCACGGTCAGAGTGAGGGAGAGAGTAATAAAATCTAAATCAGGGTCACGGTGCATGTATGGGACTGCACAGAATCTGGGGAATTAGATTGGGGAGTTACAGACACAGATTGCCAGGTGGAAATCTGATGTTGTGGCTCCCACAGAGGCTGGGCTCAAAGAAGAGCAGGACTTGGTGTTAAATATTCCTGGATACAAGGCGTTCAGGAAGGATAGGACAGGGAGAGCAGTTGCCGGTTTATTAGCGATGGTATTGACGTGGTGGAAGAGGATATTCCTGATCTAGGACAGAAGTGATATGGCTACAGCTTAATGAGTAAAAATAGATGCAATTACATAGGTCATTAACTAAGGGAATTGATGTAGAGGAACAAATTTGAAATGAGCTTTCAGAAAGGTACAAATATCATTGTTTTAATGTCAGACTTTAATTTACTGAGTGACAGTGTGAGGGAGCTGCATTAACATCAGTGGAGATACAATCAGTAACACAGCGCACAGGTTAGAGGGGTTACTGAGTGACAGTGTAAGGAAGCTGGATTAACATCATTAGAGATGCAGATAATGGATAATGAGGGTGTACACGAGGGAGTAATGGGGTTGTACATGGGGGAATGATAAGGGAGTATGTGTGGAGAGATTAATTGAGGATGTACAAGGGCAAGTGAAGGCGGTGTATGAGGGGGAGTGAAAGGTGTGTATGGGGGTAGTGAAGGGAATTCAGTGGGGGCAGGTACGGGTGGGAGTGAAGTGGGTGTTGGGTGGGGGCATGAAAGGGCTAAACAGCGGGAGATTGTGACTGAGTGTATAGATTATCGCCTTCGCTTTCTGGCAGACTGGGCCAGATAAGAGGCTGTCTGGTCACTGTTGCCTTTTCCTAACCTGTCTCTGTCTCTCTGTCTCTCTCTCGCTCTCACTGTCCCTCTCTCTCTCGCTATCTGTCTCTCTCTGCCCCTTTTTCTCTGCCCATCTTTGTTTCTCCCTCTATTTCTCTCACTGTTCCTGTTTTCCCTCTCTCTCTCTCTTTCACTGTCTCCCTCTTACTCTCTCTGTCTCCGTCCCTCTCTGTCTTTCTCTCTCCCTGTCCCTCTCTCGCTCTCTCTCACACCCACTGTCTCTCTGTCTCCTGTCCCTCTCTCTTTCTGTCTCTCTCTCCACCCCGGCCCCCAATCTCTCTGTCACCCCTCATCCCTCTCTCTGCCTCTCACTCTCATCCCCTGTCCCTCTCTCTCACATCCCTCTCTCTGTCCCTCTCACTCACTCTCTCTCTCTCTTTCCCCCCTGTCCCTTCCCCTGTCCCTTTTTCTCTCTTTCTCTCAATCTCTCCCTTTCCCTGTCTCACCCTGGCCCTCTCTCTCTCTCTTTCTATCTTTCCCTCTGTCCCTCTCTCTCTCTGTGTTGCTGTCACAGCTCTGGATCCTCCTCGAAACCTGACGGTGAGTGAGGTGACTCGGCGCAGTGCTCTCATTTCCTGGTTACCTCCTGTGGCTGACATTGAGAACTACGTGCTGGTGTACAAGGACCACAGTGGGCAGCAGAAGGTAGATGCAAGAGGGATTTCTTTTCTGTAATCGGTACTGAACAGGCCACACCATATGGGAAATATCTGATCACCCAGACAAGACAATGATCCAAAACTATGGATATGTGCGCGTGTGCGTATGGGTATGCACGTGTGTAATTGTGACTACATGTGTGTGAGACTGTGCATGTGTGTTTGTGTGAGAGAGATGGTGTAATTGTGAGTGTGTGTGTGATTGTGACAGTGTGTGACGTTTGTGTGAGATAAAGACTGCATAATTGTGACTGTGTGTGTGTGAGAGACTATATGTGTGACTATGTGCACAGATGACAGTGTGCCTGTGCAAGAAAGAGACAAAGTGTGTGTCTGTGTGTGTGTGAGAGAGAGACAGAGAGACAGTGAGAAAAAGAAGTGGGCAATGGTGATTGGTGATTCAATAGTTAGGGAAACAGACAGGCATTTCTGTGGCTGTACACATGACTCCAGAATGGTGTGTGGCCCTGGTACCAGGATCCAGGATGTCACAGAGCGACAGCACGTCATCCTTCTGGGGGAGGGTGAAGAACCAGAAGGTACAGACTCTGTTGGCACCACCAATGACATGGGTAGAAAGGGGCATGAGGCGCTGCAGGGGAAACTGAGGAAACTGGGCAAGAGACTGAAAAGTAGTCCCTGGAAGGTCATCATTCTCAGGATCACTTCCAGTGCAACATACTGGTGAGAACCAAAAGGGGAAGACTGAGTGAATGAACACATGGCTGGGAAAGTAGGGCAGGAGGGAGTGGCTGAGATCGCTGAGACATATAGAGTGGTTCTGGAAGAGGTGGGCCCTGTCCAAGGGAAGTGGGTGGGGAGGGGGATTGGTGGTCACATCTTAGGAGGACCAGGAATAATATCCTCACAGGGAGATTTGCCAGTGACCATTTGGGATAGTTTAAACCAGCCTGATGAGGGAATGGGAACCTGTGAGGAGGTAGAATCAGGACAAAGCTGTTTATGAGAAGTAGAAAAGCTGCAAATGAAAGCAGAAACCAGCAGAAACAAATGCCATTGTCCAGAAGTGTCAAAATTCAGAGTTAAAACCATCACATCAAGTTGGAGTGACACAGCATTTGCAACAAGGTGGCCCAATGAGAAATAAACAGCTTTGATCTCATTTCCAATTCAGAGACATGGCTGCAGGGTGACCAGGTTTGGGAGCTGAATATTAAAGGATGTTCAATATTCAGGAAAGACAGGCATAAAGAAAACAAAAGGTAGGATTCTGCTGTTAGTAAATCAGTACATTAGTGAGAGAGCGGATCCTAGATTGGAAAACTATGAAGTAGAATTTGTTTGGGTGGAGCTAAGAAACTGCAATAGGCAGCAAACACTGGTAGCTGTGTTAATAGGCCTCCAAACACTAGTGGTGACGTGGAGCACAGTTAAATCATTAAGTTAGAAATATATGTAACAAGGGGGAAAAGGTAATAATATGGGATTTAATCTTTAAACAGATTAGGTGGATGGCATGAACACCAAATCTGTGCAATGTCGATGAGATGCTTTTCTACAGCAGTGTCCATCATGGGAACAGGTTAATGTAGATTTGCTATTATGCAATGAGAAAGGGCCAATTAATCATCATACTGTAAAAGAATCTTTGTAGGGAGGAGTGACCATAATACATTGGAATTTTTCATCCAGGTTGAAGGAGATGTAGTTCAGTCTGAAAGTAGGTTCCTCAATCTAAGCCACAGGATTTATAAAAGTATGAGGGATAGGTTGGCTGTTGTGGGCAGGAAAAATTGTATTGAAAGCTATGATATTAGACAGATAATTATTGGCTAATATTTTAAAAAATAATAAATGGTTTACTATGAATAGGCAATCCTTTATGGCACAAGATGTCAACAGGAAAAGTGAATGAATTTTGATTAAAGATTATATGAAATCAAAGGAGAAGGCTTATAAAGTTGCCAAAAAATAGGAAACCTCATGATAGGGGGCATTTCTGATTTCAGAAAAGGTAGATCAAGAAACTAATAAAAATAATGTGAGAATAGAATATAAAGGTAAACTGTCAAGATGCATAAATGATGATAAAGATGCCGAGTCATCTGGACTTGAAATGTTAGCTTGCTTTGTCTCCATGGATTCTGCCTGACCTGCTGTGACCTACAGCATATTTTGTTTTCAGCATAAATAGAGAGTTGTTTTGAATCTGAAAAAGGAAAACTTCAACATTACAGACAGAAACAGGAGAACTTACAATAGAAAATAGAAAAATGGCAGAGAAATTAAATAAGTACTTTGTCTGGATCTGACACTTTTTTGGCAATGAGTGAGTTATTTGAAGGGATTCTCGCTGTGAGGGTCAACAGGATTTCTCTTCATACTTTGCCAAACTTATCTCATTAGCTACTTACCTGCCCCTATGGTGTCCCTCACACCTGATTCTAGCTCCATATTACCATGCGCCATTCCTGGAACAACTGGCCACTCAGCGGACATCCCCTGAAAGACCAGCATCCCTTGTAACTGTGTCATCTTTAAAAGGCTGCTGTCCACCCAGACAAGTGTTAGCAATCCTTGTTCCTCATTGGCAATGTCATGGCACAGCACCCACAAAGTATGTTGACATGGTTGACACTGAACATTCCCTCTGAGCTGTCTGCACACACAACATTCCATGCACGGCAATCCATGTGCCAACATGCGTTGCAGCATTGACTTGTCGTTCTCAAAACTGCTGCCGTGCAAGGACCTCAGAATTCTGCGCAAAAGAAATAAAAATTACCAGAAGCGCTAACCCTCCATCACACGTTCTCATGTATGTTAAGCCTCATCGCACATTCCCAGTCTCTAGGTCTTGTCACTGTTTAACCAGTGAACCACACAGTTTACCTGCCCTGAGCTATATTCTGTCTTAATACCTAGTCTACATCATAGAATCCCCTACAGTGTTGAAAGAGGCCATTGAGTCTACACCGATCTTCTGCAGAGCATCCCAAACCCAGCCCACTCGTCCCTGTAACCCTGCATTTCCCATGGCCAATCCACCCAGCCTGCACATCTTTGGACTGTGGGAGGAAACCCACGCAGACATGGGGAGAATGTGCAAATTCCACACAGACAGTTGCCCGAGGGTGGAATCAAGCCCAGGTTCTTGGCGCTGTGAGGCAGCAGTGCTAACCACTGAGCCACCATGCTGCTCATGTCACCACTATCCTGTGTCCCTCGTGCCATATTATTCCCACATCCTGTCATCGTCCAGTGAGAATAAATCACATATGGGCGAGCAATCGGACAATTCCAACCATGAGCTTTTATTTTCAGTCAGCAAAAGTGAACACAGAGAAAATTAATTCAGGCTTCAGTTCACTCTCACAATGCAACCCAATTGTTGGCATCATGATCAATGACTATTGGGCAGTCTATGATGGCCTGCTGCTCATCGACTGGCACCAGGATTCAGTCAGCTCATGTCTGGCCTGCAGAGCCCGATACAGCTGAGCTCTGTAATGGACAAGGAGAGCTTCCTCCTCTCCTCCTCTGCCTCCTCCTCCTCCTCCTCATCCTCCACTTTCTTGGACAACTGCTCCTGCTCCCCTATTTCCTCATCACCTCATTGCCTACTCCGACGGTGTACAGTCTAGCATACCACGATGGTGCAGCACATTCTGTCTGGACTAGATTGGAGGGAATCCCAGCCCAGTCCATATGGTGGAACCACACTGTCAGCAGCCCCATCATCTGTTCCAACACTTCCCTGGTCACAGTGTGAGCACTAACCTGATGAAGTGACTAACACATTACTGCACATCAAAGAGGGAGTGTGTGCTGCATTCTAACCTGCTTCCCATCCTAGACCCACATAGGCTGGGACCTCTGTCACTGAATTCAGTGCAGTCTATCATGACACACAATAGAGTGATGATTCCCCCCAAGCACTCCCTCTGCTGAGCGATGAAATGTTTCCAAATGAACCACAGCTGGAGTTTGCAAACCCATGTTTCATTTTTTGGAACCTGCAAAGTCCTCGCGTCCAGCAGACATGGATCCTGCACTCATGCCCATCAACGTGGCACTGCCTCTTCCCACCCTGGACATTGCACCAGCCATTTTCCACTTAGACAATAGCAGGCAATGGCAGGGGCCACAGTTCAAGATGAACATCATTAGCAGTAGGTTCTGTCACCTTCTGGTCACCAGGTTCTCCTCTCCTCCCCAACCCCAGGGTCTCTTATGTCCTCCCTGCCCCCGAACCCTAATATTGCACCCTAGTGATGCTGACCCTGCTCTCTGACACTGTTCCACATTCCCCTGAATGATCGATGGGCGAACCCCAGAACTGTATTCCTCCCCAGACCATTGACTAACTTCGATGAGCTGCCCCTGGGTACAGAGCCATACAGCACAGAAACAGACCCTTCGGTCCAACCAGTCTATGCCGACCATAATCCAAAACTAAACTAGCCCCACCTGTGTGTGGTTAGCCCATGTCCCTCCAAATATTTCTTATTCATGTACTTATCCAATGTCTTTTTAACGTTGTAACTGTACCATATCGACCACTTCTTCTGGAAGTTCATTCAACACACAAACCACTCTCTGTTTAAAAAAAGTTGCCTCTCATGTTTTTTTTAAATCTTTCTCCTCTCACTTTAAAAATATAATCCCTAGTCTTGAATTCCCCCAGTAGAGCCCTGAATGCTGTGTTGGCAGCTCCTGGACACTCGATCCATGATTCACCGAACTGCTGCTGCTCGTCTGGCACGACTGATCACTGCCCCCAGCTCAGACTACATTTGGGCAGGACCCCAGCCCATTGGGTAACTAGCCGTGGCTCAGACCCTCAATGATGTGTAAAGTATGCCAGTGACTGACAGCGCTAGTGACCGGCCACGCCAGTGACCGACAGCGCCAGTGGCTGGCCGTGTCAGTGACCGACGGTGGCTGGCAGTGCCAGGATTCCATGATGGACAGTCCAATTCCCGACCACCCCCCTCCCCTCCAATGCCTGCTGCTAACTGGACTAGCTCTTAACCAGCTTGTGACGGGACCGTTTGGTTGAATAGAGAGGTGGTATTTCCTGTGCAGGTAGCTGGCACACTCTGTTGGTGCTAGATTGATGACTAAGTGTGTGCCACATGCTGAGATGTTTCTCACTCCACCCTGGATAGACCCCCACTGACAAGCAGCCTGTCTGTGGGCTTGTGCTAAACAGCACCTCAATAAGGCAGGCTTGGCAGCCTTTCACACCGGCTGAAGGCCAGGACTGACAAAGCACAGCAGGACAAGGCAGGGGGTACCCAGTTAGGGTATGAAAAGAGATGCACCCTCTATTGATCAGTGAGCTGGGTCCATTACTGTGCACATGCCCCTGCAGTGGTGTTCCAATGAGAAGTATCAGTGCGCCCTGCAGGTCTCTAATCCAGAGTAACCTGCCAGTGAGGTACCAGCAAGGGGTTAGCAAATGCTGGACATTCGCTGATGAAGAGTGAGCACGGTGTGTGCCTGTGGACCGTGCTCTGAGATGCTGTTTGGTGCTGGGTGATATGGAGGTTCCTCACATTCAGCTGAAATCAGCAGGAAGCCACTCTGACTTCCAGCTGTAAGTTTCTCTGTTCAGCATGTTTGTTAAGATAGGAAGCAAATTCACGAGGTGGGTCTGTATCCTTAATAAGGCACCAACAAGCAATAAACCCCCCTTAAATGTCATCTCACCACTCAGCGAGTACATAAAAGAAATAGCGAGCTGCTCCTGACATTGAACCCTCTGGGTTCTCGAGTGATTCTGCCACAAATCTCACCATAGCCTACATCCCTCCAACCCCTGTAAGGTTCCACCCTCTGCCTCTGTCTTCACAGAGGAAGATTCCCAGAGAAAGCTCCCAGAAAGAAGAGCTGCAAGGGCTGAGAGGAATGAATAGGCCATGTTTGCAGCCAACATCAACCACATGGTGGCACACCGTACACACAGGCACAAAATCAGAGGGTTGTACAAACTAGCACCCGGTAACAATGCATATTATACATAAATGTAACCATGGTCTTCTGGAAATCTAAATACACTACATTCACTAATTCCCTTTATGCAGACCACATGTTATCTCTTATCAAAACTCAATAAATTAGTTAACCATGACCTTTCTTTCAGAAAATCATATTGGCTCTGCCTGACTAACGTGAACATATCTAAACCCATGACTCCCGCATTTCTGAAGAAGGGCCCTGACCCGAAACATCAACTTTCCTGCTCCTCTGATGCTGCCTGGCCTGCTGTGTTCCTCCAGCTACATACTGTGTTACATCTTTAAAAGTAGCTTCTAACATTTTTCCCTTGAAAGATATTAAGCTAACCGGCCTGCAGTTCCATGCTTTCTGTCTTGACTCTCTTAACTGCCCTCTGGGCAATTAGGGGATGGGCAATAAATGGTGATCTAGCTAGCTACAACCACGTCGCACGGATGCTCATCACGTTCACACGGGTCATCAAACACCTATCGGCTCCAGTCCCATTTTCCAGCACTTCACCTTGTCTGCTATGATGCTTCAAGGGATCAGCTAACTACTTCTTAAATGTTATGCAGAGTCCCACCTTGAGCTTACTTTCGGACAGTGTGTTCCAGAAACCCATCATGCTCTGGGTGAAAACATTCTTCCGTAAACAAAGAACCAAGGAGTTGCATTCACTATTTTCCAATCTGATGAAATATTTCCCTGAACCAGGGAGATTTGGAAAATTAAAAGCTATCCCAGCAGTCTTTAAGATCCTTGACGTTGATCAGAACCCAGGCACTTGTCAGCTCCTAGTCCCGACAGTTTATACTGTACCACTTGTCTGGTGCCTGGGATTATCTTGGATCGCTCCCTCCCTTTCTTTTCCTGGTTTATGACTGTTTCAGGGATGTTGCTAATATCCACTACAGTGAAGACCGATACAAAACTGATAGATTCAACAGATGAAATGGCCTCTCCTGTGCCATGGTGACAGAATGATTTGAATATCCTGGTACATGAATCATAGAACATTTTATGCAGTTACAGCAAGCGATTAGGAAGGCAAATGCAATGTCGATAGTTATTTTGGGAGGTGGTGGTGTAGTGGTCTTTTCATTGGACTAGTAATTCTATATTAACCCTGCCTAATACTCTGGGGGACTGGGTTCAAATCCCTCTGTAGCAAATAACGAAATAAGACATTTTTAATATCTGCAATTAAACAGCAACCACGAATTCTTGAAAAAACCCATCAAGTTCATTTATTTGTTAACAGGATGAGGACGTCACTGGCCAAGCAGCATTTATTGCTCATCCCTAATTGCCCAGAGGGCAGCTGAGAGTCAACCACATTGCTGTGGGTCTGGAGTCACATGTAGGCCAGACCAGGTAAGGATGGCAGCTTCCTTCCTTAAAGGACATTAGTGTACCAGATGGGTATTTTTCCCTCAACAATGGATTCGTGGTCATCATCAGATTCTTAATTCCAGATATTTTTATTGAATTCAAATTCCACATCTGCCATGGCAGGATCTCCAGAATGTTTTCATCTCTGGATTAACAATCTAGCGATAATACCACAAGGCCATTGCCTCACCTAGGTTCACTAATGTCCTTTAGGGAAGGAAATCTGCCTTCGTCACCTGGTCTGGCCTACATGTGACTCCAGATCCTCAGCAAAATGTGGTTGACTCTTAACTGCCCACTGGGCAACTAGGGGATGGGCAATATATGCTGATCTGTCTAGCAACAGCCACATCCCATGGATGAACGAAAATTTTTAAAAATTGTGAAGGAGATGGAATATAAAAATACAGGTATTCTGGCATTGCATTGGAGTGCTGTGCACAATTTTGTTTCTTTACTTAAGGAGAGATGCACATGCATTGGAGGCTTAAGAGGATTCATACCAACTGAGTTGCTTGCAGTTTGGAAGAATGAGAGGTGATATTATTGAAAAGTATAAGATTGCAGGGCAGTCCAGAACAAGGGAACCCAGTTGCAGAATAAGGGCTGTCCTATCTAAGATGAAGATGAGGACGAATTTCTTCTCTGAGAGTCAATTCACTTCTCCAGGGAGTAGGGTCCTTGAATATGGGCAGTGAACAGGTCCCACCCTTGAGTCTGTTTGCAAGTTGATTTGTATGCTAGGCAGAACACAATGCGGGACAACATACAATAGCTGTTGGTCAGTACAAGAAATGTTCACATTTGATCTTTAAAATTAACATGAGTAAATCCCTGGATGGGGTTGTGTTTGTAAGGACAAGCGTTTGCAAAAGAGACATTTGTAAATCAGGGATCCACTGTATATTTAAGGCTGACGTAGGCAGTTTTTATCGCTAAGGAATGCAAACATGATGCAGCTGTAGACATGACAGTGGAATTAGGGCCAAGACTGAGTAAGCTACGATCTTATTAAACAAGGGAGCAGCCTCAAAAGACTGAATAGTCCATCATTGCTCCTATTTCTTATGATCAGACATGTTTCAAAAACTATCAACCTCTGGTGTGGAATGTTAATGAAGAGCATCTCTTGTTTTTCTCAATGGGCCAGAGACCCTTTGGTTCTCATTTCTTTGGGTGAAGGCATTCCTAATTCCTGAAACTGGCCTGGCTGTCACTGTACTGCCCCTGTTCCTCCGCCCCCATCATCCTACCCCATCTTCTACTGCAGTGTTCCTGCTGCCTGCCTCATTCTGTGTGTGTGTGTGTGTGTGTGTGTGTGTGTGTGTGTGTGTGTGTGTGTGTGTGTGTGTGTGTCTGTCTGTCTGTCTGTCTGTCTGTCTGTGTTTGTGTGTGTGTAAGAGAGTGTGTGTGTGTGTGTGTGTCTGTCTTTGCGTGTGTGTGTAGGAGAGTGTGTGTGTTTGTCTGTGTGTCTTTGTATGTGTGTGTGTAGGAGAGTGTGTGTGTTTGTCTGTCTGTCTTTGTGTATGTGTGTGTGTAGGAGAGTGTGTGTATGTCTGTCTGTCTTTGCGTGTGTGTGTGTGTGTGTGTGTGTGTGTGTGTAGGAGAGTGTGTGTATGTCTGTCTGTATTTGTGTGTGTGTGTGTAGGAGTGTGTGTGTGTGTGTGTGCACGCGCATTTGAGTAACAAAGAAACACAGAAGATAAGAGCAGGAGGAGGCCATTCGGCCCTTCGAGCCTGCTCACCATTATTCACAATCATGGCTGACTGTCCAACTCAATAGCCTAATTCTGCTTTCTCCCCATAACCTTTGATCCTATTCACCACAAGTGCTATATCTAGTCAGTTCTTGAATATATTAAATGTTTTAGCATCAAATACTTCCTGTGGTAATCAATTCCACAGGCTCACCACTCTTTGGGTGAAGAAATGTCTCCTCATCTCCGTCCTAAATATCGTCTACCCCGAATCCTCAGACTGTGAGCCCTGGTTTTGGACACACCCACCATCGGGAACATCCTCCCTGTATCTACCCTGTCCAGTCCTGTTAGAATTTTATAAATCTCTATGAGAGATTTCTCAGTTGTCTGAACTCCAACGAAAATAATCCCAACCTAGTCAATCTCTCCTCAGACCTGCCAACCTCAGAAACAGCCTGGTAAACCTTCACTGCACTCCCTTGAGAGCAAAAGCATCCTTCCTCAGAAAAGGAAACAAAACTGCACACAATATTCCAGGTGTGGTCTCACCAGGGCCCTGTATAACTGCAACAACACATCCCTGCTTCTGTACTCGAAACCTCTCGCAACGAAAGTGTGTACGTGCATCATGTCTAAGTGCCAGCAGTTTGAGGAACAGAGCTGTTTGATGCTGTGCAGGTTGGAGTTTGGGAGGGTGTGTGTGATAAGTGGCTGAGCTAACCCACTGATGTCCCGCTGCAACCCCTTCCAGGAGCTGATCCTCGATGCAGACGATACTTGGATTCGACTAGAGGGCCTGTCCGAAACAACAGAGTACTCACTGGGGCTGCAGTCAGCATATGGCACCATGAGGAGCACAACAGAACATGCCTCGTTCACTACAGGTACCAGCTGAATGACTGTAATACTGTATCAACGCTACTCTCCAATTCAGGCCATGCCAACGGGGATCTGGCTGGATGCGTCAGTCACTGTTCTGCTAAATGACAGATCACTAGCCAAAGCCTAAAGCTCCAGAATATTCTTCCTAAATCCTTCTACCCCTCCATAAGACCACAAGAGAAAGGAGCCAAAGTAGGTCATGTTGCCCATCAAATCTCCTCCACCATTTATGGCGACACGGTGGCTCAGTAGTCAGCACTGCTGCCTCACAGACGCAAGATCCTGAGTTTGATTCCATCCTCAGACAACTGTGTGAAGTTGCACATTCTCCCCGTGCGGGTTTTCTCCGGGTGCTCTGGTTTCCTCCCACAGTCCAAAGAGGTGTAGTCTAGGTGGATTGGCCGTGCTAAATGCAGGGGTAAAGGGATAGGATAGGATGCTCTTTGGACTCAGAGGCCTGATTCCACACTGTAGAGATTCCAACAACATTAAAACAATTTTATGAACATTCAATGAGAGCTGTGCTGATAATCCTCAACTTCATTTTCCTGTCTTAACCCTTGATTCCCTTACTGATTACAAATCTTCTATCTCAGCCTTGAATATACTGAATGACCCAGATTTCTATAGATTCTCTCTCTCTCTCTCCCTCCTCCTATAAGATTGACAGCACCTTCCAAACTGACAACCACTTCCATCAAGAAAGACAAGAGCAGCAGATACATGGGGCCTCTGTGGCCTGTAAGTTAGGGTGGCACGGTGGCTCAGTGGTTAGCACTGCTGCCTCACAGTGCCAGAGACCCAGGTTAAATTCTCTCCCTTGGGTGACTGACTGTGTGGAGTTTGCACGTTCTCCCCGTGTCTGCATGGGTTTCCTCTGGGTGCTTCAGTTTCCTTCCACAGTCCAAAGATGTGCAGGCTAGGTGGATTGGCCATGCTAAATTGCCCGTAGTGTTCAGGGATGTGTAGATTCGATGGGTTATATGGGGATGGATCTGGGTGGGATGCTCTGAGGGTCAGTGTGGACTTGTTGGGCTGAAGGGTCTGTTTCCACACTGTAGGGATTCTATGCTGAAGTTTCCCTCCAAGCCACTCACCATTGTGACTTGGAATTATATTGTTGTTCCTTCAGTGTCGCTGGATCAAAATCCTGGAATTCCCTCCCTCACTGAGAGACACAAATTCTAAAGTAAGAAGTAACAGCAAGAAATATAAATTAAAGTAAAATACAGAACAGAAGATAAAGGGAACGAAAATACAGATGGAGCTAAACGAATCAGAAAGAACTACAAAAATAAAACATTCTTTTGTATTTGAAATCCTCCAAATTGAATTTGGTCTGAGGGAATGTGACTCCACTTGTAAAGTTATTTTTTCAGCGCCAGAGGTTGATTTTCACTGATTATTGCCCATCGCATCCTTGAAAACTCTGCTACTCCTGAATGGACCATCATTGACATTCTAATGCAGAGACAGTGGGCAGGATTCCCAGGTTCTCTTCATTACAGTGCTGACTCTGTCAGCATGGACTGGACCAACACACTCTGAATAGGAGCACCATCTGCATAACCAAGTTTAACTGAGCATGTACATCATCCAAAAGTTGCTGTCAGATTTGCTCAGTTGTAAGATTGAGCACTGATGGTCAGGACAGACTACCTGAAAGTGCTGGGTGTCTGGTTTGGAGGAGCTGGGGCGTGCACTAAAACTTGGGAGGAGCGCATCTCAAAGCTGCGGCAGAGGCTGGGCTGGTGGGTGCACCGGTCTCTCTCCATTGCAGGTAAAAACCTGGTCGTCAGGTGTGAGGGGCTTTTGGTATTGTTGTATGTGGCGCAGGCCTGGCCTATCCCCGGACCTGCGCCGCTGCGGTCACCCGGGCCATCTTCCACTTCATTTGGGGATCGAGAATGGACCGGATCTGCAGGGACACCATGTACAAAGACCTAGAAAACAGGGGGAAGGACGTGCCGAACGCCACCCTCGCCCTGATGGCTACCTTTGTGTGCGGCTGCATCAAGCTGTGCGTAGATCCTCAGTACGCAAACACTAGGTGTCACTACTTACTGAGGTTCTACCTGTCCCCGGTGTTGCGAAGGATGGGCTTGGCCTCGCTGCCGCGGAACGCTCCAGGTAGTTGGACCGTCCCGTACCACCTGTCCTTCGTGGAGAAATTTTTGAAGGGAAACACCTTTGACCACAAGACCGTCAGGCAGTGGTCGGCACGTAGCGTCCTTGAGACCCTTTGGGAAAAGGAGAGGGTGGATCCTGTCGGGTGGTTCCCCTCGCAGACTGCCAAAGTCGTTTGGCAGAATGCCTCATCGCCAGAACTTTCTAACGAGCACCAGGACATTGCTTGGCTGGTGGTGAGAGGGGCTCTGCCAGTGAAATCATTCATGCACGCCCGGGCTCTCTGCGCCACTGCACGCTGCCCTCAAGGTGGCTGCGGGGGGGACGAGACAGTCAATCACCTCCTTCTGGAGTGCGCCTATGCGCAGGAGGTCTGGAGGGGAATGCAGTGGTTTGTGTCGAGGTTCGTCCCGAGCAGCTCCATGACACGGGACTCCGTGCTCTACGGGCTGTTTCCCAGGACGCACACCGAGACCAACATCAACTGCGCCTGGAGGACCATCAATGCGGTGAAAGATGCTCTTTGGTCTGCCTGCAACTTGCTGGTCTTCCAGTTGAAAGAACTAACCCTGACCGAGTGTTGCAGACTGGCGCACTCCAAGGTTCAGGACTACGTGTTGAGGGACGCACTAAAGCTTGGGGCAGCCACCGCCAAGGCGCGGTGGGGAAAGACCACCATGTAAGACCCCTCGGCCGTACCGTATCAGGGCCCTGTTCAGAAACTGGGCCCAGCTGGCGCCTCCTCCAATTGGTCAGGGGGCCAACTGTGACTATGGGTAGAGATGACCGCCGGAGTTTTTCTTTTTCCTTTGTTTTTTCCCATTAGTTGGTGTACATACCCCCAGGGTAACCCGGGGCGGCTAGCATGACCGGGGTAGGTGAAAATTTGGTTTTTTTTGTATTTTGTACGAATAAAGTATATTTTTTTAAATAAAAAAAAAATTGAGCACTGATGGTGTCACATTAGTCTTGTCGCAAATTAGTCTCTCGGGGTTTCAGAATGGAAGCTGTGAACTATTTTCACCACTGACTGAACATTGTTGCGTTTGCTCCTTTTAACAGGATTGTTAGTAATCTACTTGGCAGTTTGAAACTGACAACAGTTAATTCCATCTCTTTCCAAGATCGCAGTAATCATTCACATGATAGGGTTTTTTTTAAGCCAGAGACATTGACAGGGATCTCTTGACTGCGGAGAGAATCTTTTTCCATTCACTTTGGCTCAAGCAGCATATCCATTTGGAATTCTCTGTGCTTCGAGGAGGTAACGGAACAGTTTGGAGAGAGCAATCCCTATTGGAAGCAGGTTTTGGCAGTGAACACAAAAGTATCTGAGGAAGGAGTCCAAGTTGTTAACCAGTGGTGACAGCAGAAAGTGAGGATTGGAACAACACTCTCACACAACAGGGTGATCCCAATTTTTAAGCTGCAAGTTACGGAACCAGAAGCTGTATTTCAAGATGTCTGAAAGGATTCAGTTAATGTGGGCAGGAAGGTAGAATTTAGCCAGTATGTGACAAACCTAACAACATTTGGGGGTGGCTGGAGATATGAGGGAGTCATTCTGGATCTGTTTTGAGGAAATGAAGCTGGGCAGGCAGGAAGCAACAGTGCTGAGGGTGGAAGTAATTATTATTCCGTTAAATTTAGCAGAGTTGTGGAAAAGGACAATAGTTACAAAAGAAGAGTTTTATAATGAGGGGAAGTCCTGTTCTACAAAAATGAGAGGCAATTTAGCAAAAGTGGACTGGGAATTGTTTCTTGGGGGTAAATCAGTGTAAGGGGAGACACAAGGAGGTCAGGGTAAACTTGTTGCCACAAAGAAAAGGGGCAAGATAACAAAACATAAGATTTCCTGGATGACAAAAAGCACAGAGGACAAGGTAAGGTCTAAAAGTGAACCTCACTCAGAGCTTAATGTGACTGAGCACCTAATAGAATAAAAATAGTGGGGTTGAAATTAAAGAGAAGTTGGGAAACTAAGGGAGGGCATGTGAAACATACCCTACAGATGACAAGATGCTTTATAAATATTTAAGAAAGGAATAGGGCCTGTTAGAGTATTAAAAAGGAGACCTAAAAGTGCAGGCAGAGGTAAAAATAGAAGTTGTTGGAAAAGCTCAGAACTGAGGAAGGGTAATTAGACCTGAAACGTCTGATTTTTTTTCTTCACAGATGCTGCCAGACCTGCTGAGCTTCTCCAGCAACGTCTGCTTTTGTTTCTGATTTACAGCTTCCGTGGTTCATTCAGTTTTTATTTAGTGCAGACAGATGATTTGGAAAGGTTCTCAATGAATACTTCAGAGAGTAATAATCCTGGTAGAATCTAACAAACCAATCCTTCTTTCCTGCTTCAGCCTTTTCCACGTTTTGTGGGATTGCCACAATTCAGGCTGATCATTCCACCAGTTTTCCGGGGTTTGCTGGTTGGTTTCACAGCTGGCATTGCCCTTCCTACCACAAAGATCCCACTTCCCCCCTCTGTCCCATCATCGAGTCTCTGGGCCAGGGGCATACATACTGGCTTATCTACAGCAGTGGCTGCACTTTCCCACCTCTCATGCCCCCTCCATTGAAAATTCATTCAAACAAAGCCCATTCTCAGCCTTTACAAAACCCCAGAGAACTGTCTTTAGAGAGTGAAGAGGTGGGAGCGAGTCTGAAGGTTTGAGAATCCTCAAATTTAGAGGGTGGTGGGAATCTGGTATGCACTGCCTGGGAAAATAGTGGAGGCCGGAAGCCTTACAACCTTTAAAAAAAATTTGGATCAGCATTTGAAAAATTATAACATTCAAGGATATGGGACAAGTGCAGGAAATTGGGATTAATGTATCTTTAGTGGTAGTTATGATGGCGTAGACTTTAATGGGCCAATTCTGCACTGTCTGAATCTATGACTCTCTAAATCCAATTGTGAATCGAAATGAGGATTTGCTAGCAGAGCTGGTCCCAATGGGCCATTGGTTCATTGCTTCGTTGTTTGGCCGAATTGTGCCCAGTGAATATTTTATACAGTGGCTGCTTAGACGGGATATTGAGCCTCCCTCCTTACAGGAGGAGCTGAGTGGGATTGGTAGCCTGTGTCGTTTCTCTTGCGTGTCCCGTCTCCTCCGGTTCTCGATGTCCTAACTCCTTGTTTCTTTAATGTAGCCGGACGCCTCTACCCACACCCTTGGGACTGCACTCAGCACCTGCTCAACGGGGACACTATCAGCGGCATCTACACCATCTACCTCAATGGAGAGCCACAGCAAAGCATGCAAGTCTACTGTGACATGACCACAGATGGTGGTGGCTGGCTAGTGAGTAACAGTCCACCCTCTGTCCGCGCACTAAGTGGGCGATGACATTGAGATGTTGGACATCTCCGTAAGATCCTCACCTCTATCTGCTGAAACCTTGAGCCAGGCTCTTGAAGGAAAATCCTAATGGTGGCACACTTACGCTCAGAAAACCGAGCAAAGCAACAATATTGCAGGTGGAATGCTGTCCTAAGTGTAGGCTGGAAATGACACAGTGGTATATCAGCAGTGGCAAGGCAGAAATTCACACCTAGATCTGCAGATTGGGAGCAAAATTGTTTCAAAAAAGGTGTAGCTTGAGAAAAGCCATTGTGCGGAGGTGCTGGTGGTTGAAATGCCCACGAGCCTGGGACTCAACACCCACAGGGGCAGAAGGGGAATAAAGGATACCTCAGCTTGGGGGAAATATGTAGCAATGTTCAGAGGGCACTCCAGGCAGGATTAATCCTGAAGGCCAAGCACAGGCTGGTAAACTAAAGGTCAACCATTCTCTGTACTCGAGTACAAGCCAGTCAGAGGAATGATCCTGCGTGCATCGCAGTGATAATTGAAACCCAGGCACTGCTTCACAGCTTAGAACAAGGCAAACCATCAGGTTAATTTTAAATCCTCCAGAAGCTCAGTTATGCTTGGCATGGAATTGCTTCTTAAACGCAGCGTAAGGATCCAACACTGCCAGGACAGGTACAGAATGGAGTTAGATACAGAGTAATTCTTCCTCTAATCTTTTAAAGTCCCCTCTGCATTGTCCCCAACAAACACACCCAGTTGTGGGACAGCATGGGTTAGACACAGTGTAAAGCCCACTCGACGCTGTCCCCATTAAACATCCCAGGACAGGGATGGCACAGGGTTAGATACAGAGTAAAGCTTCCACTACACTTGTCCCTAGCAAACATTCTCGGGTCAGAGACAGCATGGGGTTAGGTAAAGCTTCTCCGACTCTTCTAAAACTGAACACTCCCAGGACAGGGACAGCAGGGATTAGGTACAAAGTCAGGCATTCCTTATTACAGATGGTGAGTTTCTACATTCAGCTGGTCCATATTATCAGATACCTCCCATGCTGTATTGGAAACTTCCCAAATTTTAGGCAGTCAGCAGTGTGTGGGAGCAAATGAAGGTAACTTGGTGACATTGAGGCTACAGTTAATGTACTGTCTTTCCCTGATACAGGTGCTCCAGAGGCGGCAGAATGGACTGACAGACTTTGCACGGAAGTGGGCAGATTATCGAGTGGGCTTTGGAAATCTGGAGGATGAATTCTGGCTGGGTAAATAAAATAAGTTCAAGATAAATCACACAATAACTGCAGTTTTAGGGAGATTAGACTGTCTTTCATGTAATATCACTTAGTGTCTGGGCTTCCAACTTCCTCAGCTGTCACTTATACCACTTCTCAGTCAATGCATGAAGAAATCAATAATGGTGCCTTTTTTACCCGGAGTCCTCTAGCCTGCAGAAATTGCTGTATTCATATTGTGCCAAACTACTGTTGGATGAGTCCTGTCACTTTGAAATGAGGATGGACAGCCTGTCATTTTCCTCCCAAATTCACTTTTAATTTCTGGAAAATTCTCGGCTATTCCAAGGGTTAGCTACTGGAAATCCATCAATTGTGTCAGGAATTTGGAAGGTGATATTGGGTTAGAGAAGGTGCAAGAATCCAGGGAGCAAGCTCCATCTCCTGACTCTGTGTCACACTCATTCTGCAAGCACAGAGAATGTTAAACCACAGGAGTAGGAGTCAACCACCTGTGTCTCCTCTTGAGCCCACTCCACCATTCATTAACTGACCTGGTCACGGCCTTAACTCAACTTTCCTGTCTGCATCCACATTGTCCTTCATCCCCTCAATGTAGAAACGCTCTATAACTCGGACTGTAATGTATTTCAATGGCACTCTTAGGGAAAATACCAGTACCGTCTGACAGAAGAAATTCTTCCTTGTATTTGTCTTAAATAGATGACCTGTTATTCTGAAACTGTGCCCCCCAGTTCTAGATTCCCCAACTGGGGCTGCATCCTCTTAATATCCACTCTGTCTAGCCCACTCAGAATCTTTTATATTTCAATGTAACCGCCTCTGATTCTTTCAAACTCCAATGAGTTTAAGCTCAAGCTGCTCAACTTTCCGTCATAAGACAAACCCCTTCATCTCAAATGTCAACATTCCATTTGCCTTCCTAATTCCTTGCTGTAAATGTGTGGTAGCACTTTGTGATTCAGGTACAGGGATATCCACATCCCTCAGTGTCAGGGCATTCGGCTACCTCTCTTCTTTTCAACAATCTGCTGTTTTACTATTCTTCCTAATACAGTGAACAACCGCACATTTTCCCACATTATATTTCATCTGCCAAATTTTGCCCATTCACGTTGAAATCTATCTATATCACTGCTCCTCTGCCAGTTACAATTTTTCAAGTTGAAAATGACCCCTTTACCCCAACCTTTGGGTTGGCCAGCTCTATCTAACATATCACCTCAAAACCAAGAGCTTGATTGTTGTTATTTTAATTGTCCTTTATTTATTTCTAAAACTTTCCCAATCTTCTGGCCTACCACTATTCTTTTTTTTCAGAAATGTGAGCCTTTTCTTTTCAAATTCAAACCATCCTTGACTTCCCTAGTTAGCCTTGGAAGGTCATTCCTCCTGTTTGATCCTCAATGGAAAATATCTTTGTTGAGCCTCGTGTAATATCTCCTTAAACGGCTGACACTACTTCCCCATCACATAAAATTTTGACCTATTTTCCCAGTCCTCTGCAGTCAACTGTCTTCATACCCTTGTAAGTTTTTTTTTAGTTGAGACACTAGCTATAGACCCACATTTCTCACTTTCAAATTGATTATGAAATTCTCGTATGAAATTATGATCACTCTTACCTAGGGGATCCATTACAATTAGGTCATTAATCCGTGTCCTCTCGTTATATATTACAAGGTCCAATATAATCTGTTCCCCTGTTAGTTCTAGAACAGATCCGAGGATCTGTGTAGGCAAATTGACTCATTCAAATCTAGTTTCTCCAAGCACTTTTTACACATGGACTTCAAAAGTCTATGGAGTGCCTGGACAACTTAGAGCAAACATAGGTACCATCTACAAGAAGTATTGCAGACATTCACCAAAAGCACCTTACAAATGGCACAGTGGTTAGCACTGCTGCCTCACAGCGCTAGGGACCTGTGTTCGATTCCACCCTTGGGCGACTGTCTGTGTGGAGTTTGCACATTCTCCCTGCGTCTGCATGGGTTTCCTCCAGGTGCTCCGGTTTCCTCCCACAGTCCAAAGATGTGCAGGCTAGGTGGATTGGCCATGCTAAATTGCCCAGTAGTGTTCAGGGATGTATAGCTTAGGTGGGTTCATAGGGGGATGGGTCTGGGTGGGATGCTTTCAGGGTTGGTGTGGACTTGCTGGGCCGAAGGGCCTGTTTCCACACTGTAGGGATTCTATAAAGAAAAATAATTTCTATGAAATTCATGACCACTTTCACCAAGAAGGACAAGGGCAGCAGATACATGGGAGCACCACCATCTGCAAGTTCCTCTCCAAGCCACTCACCATCCTGACTTGGAAATATACGCCGTTCCTTCACTGTCACTGGGTCAAAATGCTGGAATTCCCTCCCTAAGGGCATTGTGGGTCTGCCTACAGGACATGGCCTGCAGCAGTTCAAGAAGGCAGCTCACCACCAACTTCACCAGGGCCACTAGGATGGGTATTAAATACTGGCACAGCCAGTGATGCCCACATCCCTTGAATGAATAAAAAATATACTCTGAATAACACTCTCCAAACACCTTGATACCTGGTGTAATATTTTCAAACATACTGTTATTCTGAGTAATAACTTTTAAACAATGTTATTCCGTGTAACATTCCTCAATCTTTCTGTTACCCATGTAAAACTCCCCAAACACGCTTTTACTCTGATAACACTCTCCAAACACAGTTACTCTGACAAACACATGGTTACTCTGAGTAACACTCTCCAAACACACTTATTCCCTGTGTAATATTCTCAAACTCACTGTTACCCTAAGTAACACAATATAAACCTGCTTGTTACTCTCAGTAACACACTTTGTTTGGACAATGTTACTCAGATTAACAGTGTGTTTAAAGTGTGTCTACTACTCTGAGAAACACGTTTACTCTTGAAAACACTTTTACTCTGTGTTATACTCTCAAACATACCGTTACTCTGTGTAACATTCTTTACTGAGCAACACAATCTGAGTAACGCAATCCAAACATGCTGTCACTCTGAGTAACACAAATCAAACACACTGTTACTCCGTGTTATACAATCCAAGCACACTATTACCTTATTTAGTGTTCTCAAGCACACTGTTACTCAAAGTGACAACGTGTTTGGATTGTGTTACTCAGGATAATGGTGTATTTAGTTTGTGTGACTTAGAGTTACAGCATGTTTGGTTTGTTATTCAGAGTGATGGTGTATTTGGTTTCAGTAACACAATCCAAACATGCTGTTACTCTGAGTAGCACAATCTAAATGCGCCATTACCCTGAGTAACACAATCTAAACGCACTGTGACTCTGAGGCATGCAATCCAAATGCACTTTTACTCTAATTAACACGTGGACTGACCCTCTCCAAACATATTGTTATTCTGAGTAACTGTCCAAAATCACAAACATCCTTTGCCCTCTCTAACTTGTCGATCTTTGTTATTCTACGGATTTAGGGTTGGACAACATTCACAAGATCTCTGCCCAAACCAGATACGAACTGCGAATTGATCTCCGTGATGGCCGCGAATCAGTCTATGCAACCTATGATCGATTTTACTTGAGTGATGCCCGGAACCTGTACAAGCTGAGGATTGGAGATTACAATGGGACAGCTGGTGAGGATCTCTAACACACTGATGTGGTTGAGAATGTGTGACTGGGTAATGTCATGGATCCTACACAAAATCAACATTTTTGTTTTCAGCGTTTGCTTCATCACCTGGCTGGTCCTGGAGCAGCTTTTATTACCCATCCCTAAGTATCCTGAAGAAGGTGGCTGTGAGCTGCCTTTTTAAACTACACAGGTCAATGTGGTGTCAATTGACCCGCAGTAGACCTCCTGTTGTTCACCTTTTAATGAATCCATCAGAACAAGTCGACAAATTTCTTTGTCTAAGGATCAGAATGAACCATATGAGTTTTTACACCAATCTGATTGTTTCAGTGTCACTGTCATTGAGACCAGCTTCTCATTCTAAATTTATGGATTCAATTTTAATTGCCCTGGTTCCAACGATGATTGATTGATTGATTTATTGTCACGTGAACTGATATACAGTGAATTGCTTTGTTTATGAGCAGTACAGGCAGATCATAGTGAGCAAAGGATGTACAGATCAAAAAGATTTAGACAGAGGCATACAGATTACATTCATAGAATCATAGAATCCCTACAGTGTAGAAACAAGTCCTTTGGCCCAACAAGTCCACACCAACCCATCTACACATAACCCACCTAATCTATACATACCTGAACTCTATGGACAATTTAGTATGACCAATCCACCTAGCCTGCACATCTTTGGACTGTGGGAGGAAACCGGAGCACCGGAAACCAGAAACCCACGCAGATACGGGGAGAATGTGCAAACTCCATACAGACAGTCGCCCAAGGGTGGAATCAAACCCGGGTCCCTGGCACTGTGAGTCAGCAGTGTTAACCACTGAGCCACCGTGCCAACCTGCATAGGGTGTGCACTAGGCGAGATCAATGTTAGCAAGATCAGCTTTGTTTGAAGCTAGAGAGTCCATTCATCAGTCTGATAACAGTTGGGAAGACGCTGTTCCTGAACCTGCTCGTGCATGTGTTCAGGCTTCTGTATTTTCTGCCTGACGGAAGAGGTTGTAGGAGATCATTACCAGGGTGCGATGGGTCTTTGATGATGTTGGCAGCCTTTCTGCAGCAGCGAGCCGTGTAAATGGACTCCATGGATGGGAGGTTGGCTTCTGTGATGGTCTGAGCTGTGCACACCACCTTCTGTAGTTTCTTACAGTCCTGGGCAGAGCAGTTGCCGTACCAGACCATTATGCACCCAGACAGTATGCCTTCAAATGTGCATCTGTAGAATTTGGTGAGGGACCTTATGGACATGTCAAATTTCCTGAGTTGCCTGAGGAAGAAGAGGCATTCTTGTGCCTTCTTCTCTGTTGCATCTATAGTGGAAGTCCGGGACAGGTTGTTGGTTATCATCACTCTGAGGAAATTGATGCTCTTCACTCTCTCAACCTCAGTTCCATTGATGTAGATGGGGGCGAGATTTGAATTCATATTTCCATCACATTATATGAAAGGTAGGAGTAGGCCATTTTACTTGTTGTGCCTGCTCTCCCATTCAATAAGATCATGACTAATAAGGACACATTTGGAGTACTGCGTACAATTCTGATCGCCCTGCTATTGGAAAGATGTTATTAAACTGGAAAGGATGCAAAGAAGATTTATAAGGATGTTACGAAGACAGGAGGGTTTGAGATATAAGGAGAGGCTGGATAGGCTGAGGCTAATTTCCCCTGGACCGTAGGAGGCTGACAGGAGACCTTATAGAGTTTTATAAAATTATGATGAGCATAGATAAGGTGAATAGTCAAGGTCTTTTCCCCAGGGTATGGGGAGTCCAAAACTTGAGGGCACAGGTTTAGGGTGAGGGGAGTAAATTTTAAAAGGGACCTGAGGGGCAACTTTTTCTATTGAACAAGCTGCCAGAGAAAATGATAGAGGCAAGTTCAGTTACAACATTTAAAAGACATTTGGACAGGTACAGGATAGGAAAGGTTTAGAGGGATATGGGCCAAATGTAGGCAAATTTAGTTTAGCCTAGGGAACCTGGTCAGCACGGACGGGTTGGGCTGAAGGGTCTGTTTCCGTACTGTATGACTCTATGACTGAGTTGATATAGCCTTTGCTGTCTGGTCTCATAAGCCTTCATTCCTTTGTCAGTTAAAAACCTATCTGTGACAGCCTTGAATTTACTCTGCCTCCACAGCTCTGCATTCCCAACTCCCACTGAAGTAATCCAGCCCTCGCTTTGAAACTATGAGCCCCAAGCTCTAGATCCCCCCATGAGGGAAAATGTCCTCTCAGTATCTACCCCATCAAATCCTCTACAAGATTGAGAACTCATCTTAATTGAAACATAACTGAAATGAGTAACGGCCCAAATTTTCAACCTTTTTTTTCATAACACAAATCTCCTCATCCCAGGAATCAGCTGAGGGAATCATCGTTGAACTGTTTCCAATGCCAATAAAACCCTCCTTCAGTAAGTAGGCCCAAACTCGACACAGGGCTCCAACACCCTGGACAGTATGGAGTGTAACGGTACGTACAGAGTGATCGTGTAGGTGAATCAAAAAATATTGGCAGAATGGGCAGAGAAGCAGCAGGTGGACTGTATCAATGTCTGACAGGACATATCGAGGGAGTTTTTTGCAAAGTGGTGGGATCTTGAGCTTCATAAACAGAAATATTAAGGACAGTGATGGAGAACCTTTGTAAAGTTCTGGTTAGACCCCACCCAAGAGCATTGCTTCTAGTTGTGGTGAGCAAGGATGTGAGATCCTCGAGAGACAGCAGGGGAGATTTACCAGAATGGGTTCGGTGATGAGGAGTTTAATGACTGGGTTCAATTGAAAAAGTTGAGGTTGTTCTCCATGGAGCAAAGGAGATTGAGGGGAGATTTGATTGAGGTGGACAGGATTATAATGGATTTGGATAAGTGAGACAAGGAAAGCTGCTCCCATTGGCTGATGGTACAGGAACTAGGGGACCAAGATTGAAGGTTTTGTTCGGGAGACAGTGGGGAATAGAGGATGTGAGAAAGAATCTTTCTCCAGATTGACCTGGTACTCACTGCCTACATGAACATTCACTGTCCAAATCTGCCCTGTACCTGAAGGTGCACTGAACCCACTGTGTACCTGGCCCTGAAATTCCTGAAATTCCATCCTGTATTTTATCTCACATCACTTCACAGGAATAACACAGTCGGTCCACTTCAACTGTGTCCAACTCATTTCTCCTCATGTTTCTGCAGCTCCTTGTCTCACCCATTGATGGTCTCCTCAGGCTGGTCAGCATGGTGAGGGCACGTTCATTACTTCCTGAAACACGTCTCTCCCGTCCTCTCCTGAAAGATCCAACCCTCGCTGGGGGGTATTGACCCTGCTGCCCTCCACTCCTGAAGGTGCTGACCCTCACTGGGGGCACAGACCCCACCATTCCCCTGTCCTGAATAGGGGTGGCACAGTGGCTCAGTGGTTAGCACTGCTGCCTCACAGCCCGCTGTCTGCGTGGGTTTCCTCCGGGTGCTCTGGGTGCTCTGAGGGTCGGTGTAGACTTGCTGGGCCGAAGGGCCTGTTTCCACGCTGTAGGGATTCTATGATGATGATGAAGGAGCCCACTCTTTCAGATAGTTAGAAGCTTTTTCCCAGGGTGGAAGAGTCAGTTACCAGGGGGCATAGGTTTAAGGTGTGAGGGGCAAGGTTTAAAGGTGATGTACGAGGCAAGTTTTTTTACACTTAGGGTGGTGGGTGCCTGGAACTCGCTGCCGGGGGAGATAGTGGAAGCAGATACAATAGTGAATCTTAAAGGGCTTCTTGACAAATATATGAATAGGATGGGAATAGAGGGATATGGTCCCCGGAAGGGTAGGGAGTTTTAGTTGTGACGGGCAGCATGTTGGTGCAGGCTTAGAGGGCCGAACTGTAATTTTCTTTGTTCTTTGTATTTAGTGTGGTAATCATCACAGAAACATTTGTGAAATCTTGCTATGTACAAATTAACTATTTGGCTTTTTACATCACAGTAATGTCTTTATTTGAAAGGTACGTCCTTATCTGTACTGTCTTTTGGACTGTTTAAAAGTAGTGAAGTTCAACTGCTTTATTAACATAAGATTTTCCTATCATTTGTCCTAGTCCCAACTGAATGACCCACCCTCAGTCCATGGGAGGAGGGTTTTGGAATTTTGTCTAAGTTACTGCCAGGGGTCTGACCTGGATCCACAGTCGATGAGTCAGTTTTCCATGTACCAAGACTGATCTCTGAACTCTTGGAGACTTATTACAGGAGGTTCTGTAGTTAGGGTAAACACTTTGTGTTTGGGTAAGAGACGAAATCTTTTCTGCCTAAGTATCAAATTACTGCAGATGCTGGAATCTGTACTGAAAACAACAAATACTGGAGATCACGACGGGTCAGACAGCATCCATGGGGAGGGAGCAAGCTAACATTTCGAGTCTAGATGACTCTTCATCAGAACTGAAGTGAAGTGTGGAGGGGGCAGCATTTATGCTTTAGTTGGGATGAGGGTGGGTTTGATGGGTGTAGGGTGCTGGTGGAGAAAAGATGCTGATAGTTCAGATTAAGTGATCGGGATGTGAGAATGGCAGAACAATGGTGTGTCTACCTGCCAGACTGGAAAGGACAGACAGTCCCACTGGGATGGGGGAAGGGGTGAGAGGACAGGCTGACAGAGAATGTAACAAGTAAAGCTAAAAGAATACAATACACGAGATTGGAGGAGGTGCGGGTGAAATGCTGCTTCACCTGGAAAGACTGTTTAGGCCCTTGGATGGTGAGCAGGGAGGGGGTCAACGGGCAGGTGTTGCACCTTCTGCGGTTACATAGGAAGGTGCTGTGGGAAGTGGGATTAGTGTTGGTGGTTGTGGAATGAACTAGGGTGTCCCAGAGGGAATGATCCCTGTGAAATGCAGACGGGGGGGAGTGAGGGCAAGATGTGTTTGGTGGTGGCATTCTGCTGGAGTTGTCTGAAACGGTGGAGAACGATCCTTTGAATGCGGAGGCGGGTGGGATGAAAAGTGAGGAGAAACGGGA